TCTCGCGCGAAGCGGGATCTAATTTAATTTGCAAAAAAGCTTTAGATAAATCAATTGCACTAATAAATTTAGCTCCTCTAAGGTTATCTAAAATATAAGAAGTATAAGGAAGAGGATAAGAATCTTTAACAGTTACTGAATTTAATTTTCTTGAATCTAAACAAAGTCTAATGCCTCCATCCTTCTTAGGAACAGTTAAAACAGGGGAACTCCAAGGAGACTTCGAAGGTTGTATTATTCCCTCCCTCAACATCAATTCAACTTCGTTATAAACCTCTCTCTGCTTAGCAGGACTCAAAGGGTAATAACGTTGTTTAATAGGATCGCCAATGGTAACTATTTTATGTTCAGTTAAATGAGTAAGGCCTAAACCATTCTTTTCATAAGAAATATCTTTAAATAATCCAACAACTTTATTTAATTGTTCACTCTCAGAAGGAGACAAGTTAGCAGCAGATGTAACAGAACAAACGTTAACATCTCTTTCATCAACAAAAGTAATATGTTTAAATAAATCTTTAGCTAAATCGAATTTTAACCAGAAATCAAAACCTAGAATTATATTTGGTTCAAATGAAGGTATAACCATAAATGAAATAATTTTAGTATCTCCATCACAAGTCACAGGTAAGTCCATACTTCCAATAATATTTTGTGAAGATCCGTCAACAGTATGAGCGGTTCTATAAATTGTTTTAAGTTTATATCCTAATTCTAAAAATTGTAAGTGACTGTTAGCACCTAATACGCAACAGTTGGCACCACTATCCAAAATTCCAGTAAAAGTACTATTTCCAACATTAAATTTAAGGTAAGGTCTATTATCTCTATTTTTAACAAAAAGTACTGGAGCTACTTTAATATTTCTAAAAAATACTTTTAAATAATCTAGCCAATCATTAAATTCTTTTCTACAAGTTGATTTATCAGGAACATGACTATTTTCCATCGAGACTCTTCTCGCTTCATCATGAAGTGGAGCTCGATGAGGCCTAATCAGTTTTTTGGAACTGGTTCAGAAAATTTAATTTTGTTTGCTAAAGGTTCGCTGGCGTCTACTTTTTTATTTTTGCAGTCACATGTGTGAATAGTCACTCCATGCCTACAACAATTGAAACAAATTGGACCAGGAATGCTTAAACATTTTTTGTAAGTGTGTCCAAAATTTTTACATTTTAAACAAATTAATTTTTTATCAGTTTTGGAATCTACAAAATGAACTTTAGGAGAAGATGCACGCGAAACAGATTGAACAGAAGAGCTATCCGAAACAAGTTCTTTAATTTCTTTATCTAATCTAAAAATTTGGTCAATAGAACTAATGTTCCTGCCAACAAAATATACGGCGTGAGAACGCAACATATTACGCCTAATAATTTTAATTAAGGTTTGTTCCGAAAGTGGATCCGAAAGACGCAAAGACATATCCTGCAACTCGATGATAAAATCTGACAAAGTTTCAGTAGGTTTTTGTTTACGAGAACGCAAAAGATATTCAAGCCGATCATCATAATCAGGTTTGTCAAAATGTTTAAGTAATGCAACCTTAAGGGTATACCAAGAATTAAGATTTGAACGAACAATACGAAACCATGTCCTAGCAATGCCAGTTAAAAAATCTGAAAAGGAAGTAACAACAAAATATTCATCGATATCTCTGGAAACCATATACTCTTCAACACTAGTAATAAATTCTCTAACACAAGACTTACCGTCAAAAATTATCTTACTCTTCGAAAGATCAGGACGTTTGTAATATGTAGGTTTTTTAAAGTTATCCAAAAGTGAAGTATTATTTTGTAACAAATTAGTGCTAACATGTGAAGCATGTGTGGTCGTCGGTTGTAAAGCAGGTTGTGAATCAAGCAATCGTGATGAATGAAAATTATGATCATCCAAAGTGGGTTGATCAATTGTTAAATTAATTAATTCATGTGCAATGTGCTGTGTAGCAGGTGGATAAGCTAAATCACTAGTATCAGTTGCAACAGAAACAGGTTGCTCCTTAGGCGGCAAGGCAGCAGCTAATGCAAGTTTGTCACCTTCCATTTTCGCAAAATGCCAAAATAGCAGTGAAATTATAAACGCAGTTAACGCAAAGTAAATTTAAAGTTAAATCTTTTAAAAGATAAAGCAAGATGCAGCAAGTTTACAATTGGTGAAAGATATTTAAATCTTAAGTTAAGTTATGTAACCGAATTGAATTATTTAAAAATTATTAATATAAAAACATATTATCCTTAACTGAAATAAGTTTGTGACAAAATGTCAAAATATCTAAGTTACAACAACATCAAAAGTTATTTTACAATATTATTATCACTTAGTTAATTATTATTATTATATAAACAATGCTTCATTAAGTTATGCAAATATTTCAGAATATTTAGTTATATTTTTTCAAAGAATGTTAAATTATTTTAAGTTTATGTTATTATTTATAAAAGTTAAACTTTATTGTTTATGTTTTATTTAAACAATGCATATACTAGCTCAAAACAAGTTGTGGAACAGTTATATTTATCATTAAGAAACTTGTATAAATTTCAAATAATGTTCACAAAACATTTTAAAAATTATCAAAACGTTCGAACAAAAAGTCCTAATTTTTTATATATATATAGCTAAAAGCTTTGTAAATTTGCATATTCAAATGTAAATAACAAAACAATAACACAATGATCATAGTTAACAAGGTAATAAAAGTTTAAGTTATATGCAATATGCATCAATTGGTAGAAACCAAATAATTGTTTACGAGTTAAGTAAATTCTAAGGAATTTGCATGTGCAAAATACTAAATTAACATACAAAAGTAGTAAATATCATGTGATGCATCACTACAGACGTATATAGAACATTTCAAATATGAAATAAAGTTCAAAACAAGTAGTTAAATGAAAAGTTAATATTAACACGAACCATCCAAAACATTAAGTTAAATTGTAATTATATTACAGACAAAATCTATGTTTATGTATCAAAATTCAAGTACAAAAGCTACATTATATCACAAATGTAATAATAAAGATGACAAACAACCAGACAAGACTACTATTATAGGTACAAAATGAGATGGATTGCATAAACCAAGTCCCTGTGCGCTGGCGTCAATTGTAAAGTTAAAAAATAAAAAGTTTGAGAGAAATTTACTAAACGGATAGGTCGAAATTAATGAAAAAAAAGAATACTCGGGCGCCAGACCCATACCATATTATTAAACCATATTAGCCGGGAAAGCAATGAACTTTTAATCGCAAGAGGAGTTTAATGCAAATCCATTCTCATTTTGGGTTGTCTATATATTAAAATTTAGTACAAAACTACTGGACCGAAAGAATTACTGCTAAATTTTGAAACTAAGACTAAACTAAGACTGTAAGTGAAAATGTTACCTTTTATATGGGGGCCGAAACACAATTATAAATTTGAATATTACTGACTTTGTTGCATCTTTGTAGTTAAATTATGTCTGGTTTCACAAGTATGTAGGGGATGGCCGTTTTTAGGTCCCGTGGGTTCACCTCCACCTCACGGGAAACATCGTGATTTGAATTCGATTTCCAAATAAAATTTCAAATATATAAAAAAAACGCTTTTAGCTGAAAATAAATATTCCTCAGATTAGCACATGGCTCACAACAAAGGAAAATAAGTAAAACTAAGGAAAACTCTAAGATTCTTACCGTTTTTCGATTAAATTAAGCTTGGAATAAGATCGGCTCCATTCCGCGCAAACAGTGTGAAATATCACGTCTGTAAAAAAACAATCCTTATGTAAATTATTGAAATATATGAATTAAAACACTTTTCGAATTTGGAAAAACACTTACCATTAAAAACAATTGAAAATCCAATGGATTATCATGATAAAAATTTAGATTAACATTAGACCATCTTTTGTGTCTAAGTTTTCGTCGTGAAGTGAAGTGACAGTTCTTTTCTTAGTTTGTCTTGGCGGTAGGCAAAGAGAACAATGTCCATTCAGCCTACTGCTCGATAAAGGCAGAAACACACTTACCCAAAAGTGCACAGATTAAAGAAAATGGGCGCGAGATAAAAAAACGACCAGAGAGACAACCAAAAAAAATCTTCTATCTCGCTCTTCGAGCGAAGGAGATCCATGTGACGTTTTTAACACGTTACAAACTGCTATGGCTATCGCTATAATTTTGTTATTTCTGACCGCCGACGGTTTTCAAATGCCCCGCACTCGTTTTTTTTCATTGAATACAATGAGCGTAAGGTATTTGAAAACCGGCGGTCAGAAGTAACAAAATGAAATCATAAGCAATAGCGTTACCCATAGCAATTCTGTTAGGTGATTGACCCCCAGGTATTTAATACTACAGTTCAGGGAGGGCAACACTGAGGAAACTTGTGATTTTTTAAACATAGTCCAGGCAAATGACTCCTACCCTCATGATGTCAAATGAAGGATAAGTTCCAAGCTTAATGATAGGTGGTGCAGCAGTTTTATAGCTATTAAAGCTGCTGCATATAAGCTATCCCTAGCTTAAAACTAGTAAATTGAAGAGGCTTCTTCACTTCAGCTTCAAAGGACATTATATAAAACCACATATAAGTCACTTGATAATAGAGATTACAATAAAATAATTCAGTTTTTCAGAACTTTCATAACTGAGATGAACTTCTTAGCAATCCATGGATTCACCATGCAGGTGCAGAGTCCATTGTGTAGGAGAGAGTAACTCTGAGCAGTTCCCAGGACTTGCGACCCAGGAGTAGGTTTAAGGAGGCTCCCATTGAGATGTGCATCAATGCTCACCTTCACTGCTCAAATTGCCCTTCCTAGCCAAATTTGATAGGAGCCTGTTAATGCAGCCTTAGTTACTCGTTTCAAAATTGAACTTGCTGCAGTTTTTGACATGCTGAGCTCTTTTAGAAGGTTATAGAGAGATTTTGCTGGTATACATCTCGCTCCTACTTTTACCGCATATAAATTAACTAGATAGCCAGCAAGAATAAAATGTACATACCGATATATCAAATGTGATTTCATACACAGCCTTGTAGGCATTGTCTCTAGCTGTGAGACATCTCCATTCAGTTATTTCTGCTTTGAACACCTCACTTGAAGCAAAAGGAAGTACAGGTGCCTGTCCATTGTAAGTATTGGCTATATCCTGGAAAGATAAATCAATAGTAAATTAATAAAGGTTATTCTTACCAGATATGACATCCTGAATAGATAAGTTGGAAGCAAAGAAGTCTGACAAGTATACAAAGCTTTTATAAAGTTTATTTGAATGAAGCAGATTATTTTAACTATTTACTGCCTATCTTTTCTGATTCGAGGTAGTTAAATTCTTTATTAGTTTTGTATTGCATTAAAAATTTAATATCTAAAGAAAACTCTTTTTATGCTCAGAATTGAATATATAACTATACCTTTTTCACAGAAATGAGCTAAGATTTTTTTTGATCAGATAGTAATGTTGTTGTTGTTGTTTTGCTAATAAAGATTTCCTGATTTTCCTTACTTGTAATGACGAGACATGAACGGGTATTTAAAAATTTAAACCCATATTGTATTAATCACGATTGTTATAATTAATTGATTTTATTCCATTTGTAACTATAAGTCTGTGTACAAATCAAGTACATATTTTTAAATCTTTTGTAATGTATATGACGTAGTGTAATAAATAAAAATACTTACGATTACATCAGACGTAGTAAAATGTATATTTAATTCTGTTTCTTTTAATGCAGGCAGACTTAAATGTGAAAATTTTGTTGATGCTTCAAAAACGTCTTGTAGTCTCCTTGATAAAACCATTGCAATTTTCACTACTCAATAGAAACAAACACTGAACTATAATTAACTAGTGTTTTAATATAATGTTAGTGATAAGTTAATAATAAATTAAACTTAATAGGTTACTACAATAAAAAATAATTAATTTAAAATCATGTGGTGGCATGACATGCAGTGTTGCCAGTACCTGCGTCGTGTTTCGGACGATTCGAAATCTGAAAAGGGACGATTTTTAGTCAAAAAGGACGGCCTTACAGAAATATTAAACTAAAGGCTGAACTATATTTATCTTACGTGTTGTATTGTGGCGCAATCTGCTTCATACATTTAGTACGGTTAGCACTAAGAACTATACCTGTGTGTCGCGATGTTTCGACAGCGTTCTCACTTTAACCATAATTGTATGAAAGAGATAGCTCTCTGATGTGTTACAACACAACACGACAGGTAAGTGTAGTTCTATCATAATGCGGTTAAATGAAAAAAAAAGCGAGTGTGTTTAGGAACACACGACTGAAGTGAAATTTCTATAGCTCCAATGATCTGAAATTTGATAGAAAAAAACTACCAATCCGCGCTGGGTCCATTATCACACACCAATCCGCACTGGGTCCATTGCCACCGACTAATCCGCGATGTGTCCGTTATCACCCTCCAATCCGCACTGGGTCCATTATCACCAACTCATCCGCGCTGGGTCCATTATCACCCCCTGGATCCGTTATCATCCACCAATCCGCACTGGGTCTGTTATTATACACCAATCCATACTGGGTCCGTTATCACCCACCAATCCGCGCTGGGTCCAGTGTCACCCACCAGTCCACACTGGGTCCAGTATAACTTCTTATAGACTTTGATAACTTTCCTTCACAACTTGTCAGATTATTACAGCAGTGTGCTACAAATAGGGATGTTCCGATACCATCAAGGTATCGATACCTACTCTTTCGATAGTACTCAAATCTTTTTTCGATACTACTTAAATAAATACTCTTAAAGTATCAATACTTACTGATATCGATACTTTTAGCACTTATTTTTATTTATTTTTTACTTTGAGGAAACTAAAGTAAAAACAATAAACGTCGAAGAACAAAAATTAAAACAAAAGTGAGAAAAAACGAGAATATAAATGTTTTGCGTCACTTTTTTTTAACATTTTAGGAATTCAAAGGGATTATTTAACATTTTAGGAGAGCAGTCGCAAAAAAGAAAAGTATAGGATCCTACCTTTCATTGGTCTCTTTATTTGCTTTTTCTCTAATTTGCCTTTATCCAAAATTCACACAGAATTCACTGACTTAAAACATTGTTTACATTTTGCAATTGTTTCGTTTGTTTTGGTAAAATTTTATTGATTTTGGTGGTGCCATGATAACATGGGAATAATAATCCGATGATTACAATAAATAAAATTACTTGAAAACAATCATTTGTATATTCATATTAAATCTTGACTTGACAGTTTGAAAATTCATTATGTTGACAATGATGACAACTTACATGGCGGGCGGACAGCTCTCTCGTTTTCGGCTCGGGCTCGGATGAAGTCGGACGAGTTCGGCTCGCCTGGCGCAGCCACAACGCTATGCGATGAATACCCGTAACCGAGCGAAAGGGCTTTTGCTCTCTCATACTGTCTGCGTCCGGAAATTTATCTTTTTTAAATGGTGATGCTGATTCGATTTGATACCAAGTACTTTTGTTTCGATACCGAGTATTTATCGCAAGATTGATTCGATGCTATAAATACTTGGTATCGAATCAAAAGTATCGAGTACCTACTCGTATTTACTAGTATCGGAACATCCCTAGCTACAAATAACATGTTGGTGATTTTTTTCCTGCACTATTACAGATTTAAAATTTGATTCCTTAAAATTTAATTCCTACATAATGTTTTTTAGGTTTTTGCAGATGCAACAGTCAAATCCAATGCAATACTTTCTGGAAATTATTGAACATAATGAATTTAAACGTTTAGTACATTTGTCTTTAAAGACTGGACCTGCAACAGATGCTGATATAAAGGGTCATATCCGGTCAATCCGCGCTGGGTCCAGTGTCACCCACCAGTCCACACTGGGTCCGCTATCATCCACCAATCCGTGCTGGGTCCATTATCACCCACCAATCCGCACTGGGTCCATTGCCACCGACCAATCCGCGCTGTGTCCGTTATAACCCTCCAATCCGCACTTGATCCATTATCACAAACCCGTCCGCGCTGGGTCCATTATCACCCACCAACCCGCACTGGCTCCGTTATCATCCACCAATCCGCACTGGGTCCGCTATTATACACCAATCCACACTGGGTCCGTTATCACCCACCAATCTGCGCTGGGTCCGTTATCATCCATCAATCCACGCTGGGTCCGTTATCACCTACCAAGCCAAGCACTAGATTTATGTATTTTGTTACAGGTATTGTTCATTGTTTACCGATGAGTCACCGATGACACTAATCGTAACACGAAAAGGGAAGATGCATATATAATATATATGAAAATTTTATGATTAAAATGTTAAAAAAATATAAAAGAAATGCCACTGCAACGTTTTTATTTTACATAATGTTGTTTTTTAACAATTATTACGAATTAAAAATACTTGAAACGGAACGTATTTTAAAACACCAATCAGCGTTTAGTGACGTCACTCCTGTTATGACAACTTCTTTGAGGTTATGGTTGTTAAAGTAAATATTATTTTATGGGAATATTTATTGCGTTTTTTTAACATTTAATAAAAACGGAAGTTGCGTTTATCAAAGCAGACTCCAGGAATTTACCAAGAGTTAGCGTTGACATGGTTATAACATTTTTTGTCCAAAGTGCAGTTTTTAAGTGTAGAAATGAAAGGGACTAAATTACTACGGTATGTAAAAATCGTAGTTGTTAAACTTCGTATTTTATTCAGCGGCTTCTACAAATCTTACGGCGATAATGCAATCGGCTATGTCCAAATTAAAAGAGATGGAGAATTATGTACAGTAAAAAGTCGAGTTCCCCGGAGCATAAAGTACGTAAAGAAGGTTATCGTGTTAAGGTTATTTTAAATGAAACGCAAAGCTTGGTTCAGTCCTGCCAATGTGAAGATTGTGCCACACGTTTTAAACTTTATCTAATTTTCGACGTCATTAGCCAACTGTAAAATTAAAAATATGTTATAGACAGGTTTTGTAAGTATTAGGTAGGTTACTAATGCGTTTTTACGTACAAGCAGATTAATTAAGCATATATACAAGTATATTCGCCGACTTACGTCAAAGTGATCTTCTCAGCATCAAATAATGGTCTTTGGAGAATAATTGTCATTTTTCTTTGCAGCTTGAAACCACTTTTTTTTCAGTTTTGGGTCAGAAGTTCCAGTCAAAAACAATTTATTTGGGAACTTTGTTGAAGTAGATTGGCACAAAACATGAGTCACATGATGTTGATGGATAGTCCATTTTAAATTTTTCAAAAAAATATTTCGAAAGTCGAAAAAATATGCAAAAGTATGAAAATTTAAAGCCAGCAACGAACAAGTACGACTAGTGACAGACAGCAGTGACGTCATCGCAACTATAGGTGTAATTGTCAATTTAAAACCGCATTTTTTCCGATAAATCACAATGTTTTAATTTTTTAATATATCTGTGGTTTATTCTACATGGAATTCTTTAAAATGAAAACAAAAATAAAAATATTGCATCTTCCCTATTCGCCAGTTTACCCCCCAAGTCAAGGCGTGCCTAAAGAAGTTTCACTTCCAAAACATTTTAACAGAGCCATATTAATTATATTTTTTTGGGCACACAATAAACATAATGAAGATGGTACGGAGGACATAGGTACATCATGGTGGTATGAACGTACCGTACGTACTTACGACTCTACAAAGCAAGCACTTATTCTTAAGTTACCTATTATCTTCATAACTGAAACATACCTCAACAACAAAAGTTTTATTAGGTAAGATATGGTAGGTTATTGGGTTAGAGCTTTGAGTTGGTATAGATATAGGTAGGTATATATTAAACGTCACCTTCGTAGCGAGCGTTGAATTCGATGTAGTTTACTGGGTGATTTGACGAATAGAGTTGACAATGTACAACGAATAGTGATGGCAATTTAGTGAAATAAATCAATGAGTGAAACGAAACGCATTCGTCTAATGTTGCAGTGAAGCGTTATCGAAAACGGACGGAAAAGGGACGGAATATGTAAAAGGACATCGATGGGACGCTTTGATGAGAAAAGGGACGAAAATCGTCCCTTTTGGGACGTTCTGGCATCACTGAGACATGATGGCAATAGCGCCAATAGCTGTCAAAATGTAAGTCTCTTTTTTTTTTTTGTTGAAGTTCTCCCGTTTTAGGGAAGGCAAAGGGAACAATGCCCATACAGCCTAGTCTTTAATTAAATTAATCTTCTTTTTTTTTACATTAGAATGTCGGTGTGACGCATTATAATGTTTCTTGGAGTGTTTGGCACGAAATGTATCGAGTTGGCTTTTTCGATAAGCTTCTGTGAGGTAGTCAACACTACAATAAAATTCTCAAGTGCACTTGACCGGAATAGCGTATATTTTAACGATTCCACTAATTCTTCAGTTACGCAGACGGTTGTTACACAAAACCACACCAATTTTAATTCACAATATCCACTATGAACGAATTTAAAAATAATTAAAATAAGACGCCAACCTAGTGTCTTTTTTTAGATTCTCCCTTTTCAAAGAAGGCAAAGGAAACAATGCTCATACAGCCAAATCTTTTGTTTTATTAATCTTCGACATTAAAATCAATCATTTTATTAAGACAGAGAAGTCAATATTGAGTAATTTGTATTCAAACTCCATTAAAATCCTGTGGTACCTACTGGGGGGCATTCGCCTAACGGAAATGCTTTGGAAAACGTTAACGCTTTTGATTTTATTTTGTTATTTCTGACCGCCGAAGGTTTTCAAATACCTCATGCTCATTTTTTTAATATTGTTATTACCAATGCAAAAGAAAAAAAAGAGCGCGAGGCATTTGAAAACCTCAGGCGGCTATAAATAACAAAATTAAATCGTAAGCGTTAGCGTTTTCCAAAGCATTTCCATTAGGCGAATGGCCCCCTGGTGTACGCTACCTTGATCATGACGCCAACGTACACCATGAAAACAGTTATTACTTCATAAACTAAAGAGATAGATTTTGCTTTATTATTGCAATAATTAGGCACTATTTATTTATTTATGCATAAGTAACAACCTCGAACTCGATGTGGTGTACGCTAGATTGCCGGAAACGGGCTTCCACACTTAATCCTAGGTCCATGATTAATGTTTTTTTTTTGAGAATAAAATCAATAGGAGTTCATTTGAATAAAAGCAATAATGAATCGATATTTATACAAATTGTTTATTTTATTTATAATTATATTTTATTTATACAAACAAAAGATAAATTATGCGAAATAAGTAAATCAATAAGGCCATTTTGCAAGTGTTTCCAAACAATAAATTCCAGACCTGAAATGTTTACATTACATTTTTACCTTTGCTTATCTTGTTAAAAAAACATTAACAATAAGCCTAATTTATTTACTTTTTAAATTTGAAAATACATTACCACCACCACCTATACCTCAACCTTATCATCATGAGCGCTTTCATGTCTCCACTACTAGCAATATGGTTGGACCCAGCGCCGGACCGGACCTTGCATAATTAAGCGGTTAGTGGTTTTATACCACTGCAGATGCAACCAAGACCAACGACTTTACACACCTTTCGAAGCAGGCCCGAACACAAGATAGCCAGCTAGTAAGCTAGGTCATACTTTTCAATAACGAAATGCTACGGCTGCCTTTAAAGCTCTATATTATAGCTTTTTCTGGGACTGGATTTTTTTTACGCAGAGAAAACCTCTATTTACAGATGTTGGCGTCCATAAGGGCCAACGAACGGACATCGCACCTAGCATCTCACAAATCTCACAGGTGCGAAACAAAGAAGCCGTGAAGCAGTCTGCGCGGCTTACGAGCGCTTCGGCATACTATACGTTAAAAAACCCTGCGGAACCGCTAGATCCACGTAGAGGGACTTCACCTTACAGCTCAGTAACTAGAAGATAGCCGGAAATCTATTAATTAGTAAGCACATGTTCATCCTCCTCTCATCGATAATATTTACCTAGTAAAACTGTTTTTGCTTTCGGATTTGTGGTATCAACTTACCCGCTTTTATTATTATCAATATTGCCCATGTAAAAAACTTTACCATTACAAATTGGCTTCTGTTTATTCTTCATTGAGTTTAAGGGACTACATTGGCGCCCAGTGAATCGATTGGGATACCGGACGCTAGATGCGAACAGCTGATATGATCTTTGGTGGCTGCATGTGATGGAGAAGCACCCTGGTTGGAATAGTCCTCCAGAATTGGGATAGAAATCGGCGTGGGCCAATGGCTTATCAATTCCCAATATTCCAGGATTGGTGTGGATCGCTTCTACGTATCGACCAGATTTAGGGTTTAAAGCATTTTTGTTACCAGTCCACCCTGGACCGGCGGGATCTAAACCTGAAATATATTCTTACCTTTAATCATCATCATCAGCATATTACCATCCCCTCAGCTGGAGCACAGGCCTTCCCTGTGGATGGGTTAGGGAGACTGGACCGTGACGTGATCTACCACGCGGGCCCAGTGCGGATTGGTGGGTGCTAACGACTGCAGATGCAGCCAAAAAGCATCAGCTTAACGTGCCTTCCGTAGCACGGAGAAGTTCGAGACAATAAGTTGTTGATCACCTATCCAATGACCGACTTTTGCGAAAGTTGCTTAACTTCGACGATCGCGGGCCGTACGCACTAACCGCCTGCACCATAGAGCTCGTCTAATACGTGGCAATAAAAATACATTTGTAATGAAGTGCATCCACTATCTGTTTAACTTTTGGCAGCACCTATCCTAATTTATTTATCTAATTTGTACCTTCATCATTAATCTATTAATGTCCCTATTGCTTGCTTGGGAACAGGCCTTCCCTATGGATAGAATAGATCATACTATTACGCACCACACGGATCCTTAGGGATTACTAGGTTCTTGACTGGGTGCTAAAGATTCATATAAACCATGTCGATAGTGTACAATATTAATTATTCAAGCTATAATCATGTCGCTTACACCTGAAAAATGCACCAGATTTTTCACAATGCTGGAAATAGGCCGGAGTCAGCGCGATACAACTAGGACTGTCGATGTGTCAACAGTACAAAGAGTTCTCCGAACTTACGAGGAAACTGGCTCTAACCTACGCAGACCAAGAACCGGCAGAACCAGGTGTACCACAGCACGAGAAGAGCGATACTTGGTGAACACCATGCTTCGAAATCGCTTTCTCATAGGAACTGAAATTACAAATCAGTTTCGACGCCTCGGAGGAAGTAACCCAAGCGCATGGACAGTAAGACGACGACTTGCTGAAGCTAGCGTGAAATCACTTAGACCTGCAAACGGCCCTAAAATGGAGCCTGGGCATCGTATTTCAAGACTAAGGTAAACGCAGAACTACTTAAATTGGACTATTGATGATTGGTCAAAAGTTATGTTCTCCGACGAATCAAAATTTATACTATACAAGCACGATGGAAAACACAGAGTATATAGAAGACCTGGGGAAAGGTTCAAGCAAGCATGCATCGAAGAAAAAGTAGCCTAAGGTGCTGGATTGATACTTGTATGGATCGGAATTTCTTCTGAGAGTCGCACAGAATTAATGTTCATAGATAACGCCTCTTTAACTAGCGAAGGAAATGTGAAAAAAATCTTGAACACGTTGGTCTATTTATGATAAATTTAGGTGAGGATGCTATTTTTATGCATGGCAATGCCCGACCTCATACAGGTTGGATAGTGAATGACTACCTTCAAGAAATGTCAAATGAATATTACTCGTATGGAATGGCCAACACGCAGCCCGGATATCAACCCGATCGAGCATGCTTGGGACGAGCTAGGGAGATGCGTAAAACAACGAAACCCTCCCCCAATTACGGTTCGTGAGCTCAAAATTGCTCTTACAGAGCAATGGGAGAATATTCCCCAAAATCTTATAAGAAACTTGGTGTACAGCATGCCAAACCGGGTAAACGCAGCAATGGAAGCACGAGGAGGCAATACGAAGTATTAAAATTCAAGAAAATCGTAATGTTGTTCAAAAATGTCATGATTCTTATTTTTGTTTTAAAGCGAGATCAACCAGCTTTTTTCTTTATGTATTTTTTTGTAAATAAAATGTGGTGACTCATAAATTTTATTACTTTTATTAAAGGAGTATTTAACTGTCTATTAAACACAATTTATTTTATTAAACAACCATTCTTAGTTTGCGAGATTTTTATAATTCTTTGTGTGACCCGAATTCATTGAGCAATGAATCCGGGTGTATTATAGTATTATTACGGTGAGTATACTTGATAATGATATGACTTGTTGGTAGTTGTCGTTACGAATGATATGTTGTTTATTGTTTTCTGACATCAATTTTATTCAACCAAGAACGAACCAATGTGGTTACAATATCAATATTTTGTCCCATGTTTTCCCGCTTAACCTGATGCCGTCTATTATTATGCCGAGCCCGTTATATTTATCGCTAATAATTAGTTAGATCTTCATGCACATTACCTGTGACTCTTTTTGCCCGCCCACCAATTTCACGGCCAGCAATCCCAACAACGTGCGCACCCAAACTATATCCGATCAAGTGGACCAGGTCCCAGTTGCCACCAGTTGCTTTGCTGAGCCACACCAAAAATTTTCCCAAGTATTTGCCAACGCTAGGTACGCTATTCTGTGCTTCTCCATAGGTGCCGCTGGCAAGATGATGCCAGTCTACGACGATGACATTGCAATTCTGCACGTCCAGAAGAGCATCTTTTACCTCAGTGTTGAACGGAGAGGTTCCGTCGCCTATCCACCCGTGCACGATGAAATAAGTCATGCGGTTCGCTTTGTAATTGGACGCTTTAACCGAATTGATAGCGTCGTGGACGAGTAACTGATAGCTAACACGATTTTTCCTAAAAGGCAAAAAGATTGTCATCAGATAATTAATTTCTAAAGAATCTCGTATGAAAGATTACAGAATCAGGCCGATGTCACGTGGTGTCACTCAGTGTTCAATACTTGGACCGCTTCTTTTTATTATATACAATACCGTTCTGTCAATAGTAATCAAGCACTTCTATGCAGATGATGTTCAGCTATAAATCTCCGAGAAGCCAGCTAAAATATCTCAGGCAGTCAGCAAATTAAACGAAGGTATGAATGCTATAGCTTCCTGGTCGAAAGACAATGGTACTCGTACTGAATCCATCCAAACTGAAGAGCATATAATAGGGGTACCTATTTGGTAAAAAAGCAAACCGAAAACATTTTACGTGATCGAGCTGTTGTTGAAACTCTGTGCACAAATATTGAACTGGTTCATTAGACTAAGAACATGGGAATAACATATGACAGTCGATTGAGCTTTAAAAGCCACGTGCTTAATCTAGTAAAAAACTGCTTTTATCGTTTAAAAGTTCTGCATAAAGTTCGTAGTTTTGTATCGAAAAATTACACTCTGTGAATCGCTGATCCTATCAAGGCTCAATTAAAGTGATTTGGTCTATGGTCCGCGCTTGTTATGACAGAACAAAGAAAATTATACAGCGTGTGCAAAATGCTTGTGCCTGCTTTTGCTTTCATGGAACACGTGGAGATAAAGGTGGTAAATGATGCTTCCATATTTAATATGGAGTCGCGAAGACATTTGTATCTTGTCATGCTCATGTGAAGCATAAGAATCCTGAATATTTATATAAAAAATTAAAGTACATTTTCTACTTTTCATCATCACTACGGATCGGGTGTCCGCAGGCACGTAAGGGCTCCCTTGAGCACCCACCAACACAGAACTGTTGGCTTCTCTTGCAGTTTCCGCTACCAGGCAACTAAATGTTGGAATTCTATACTTCCACCGTTAAGGCTTATTTCGTGCAGAAAGACTTTTATAATACATATGAAATCGTCTTTATTAATACAGAAAATCGGAATATTCAAAAGTTAGTTGTTTGAGAGCGGTAAGGTGGGTGGAAAGTATTTTAACGTATCTAGAAATTTATTTGATAATAAAATTGTGTGTAAGTTTATCATAATTACAATAAATTCCATTAATTTGTCAGTGATTATCTTATTCAATGATATTTTAATTCCCTTAAATAGTAATTATAAATTGATATTTAATTTCGTGACCTCATCTTTCTTGATTCAAATTTGAAAAATCAATGATTTGCTCGCTGGCTGAATATATGCTGAGTTTTCACCCATTCGCATCGCTGCTGGACACGAGATTATTACAATATATTTAAATTATGTTGCTGTGTAGGACAAATATAATTTTTAAAATTTATAATTTGTGTTTTTTGACTATCTTGTATATATGCATGTGCAAGTTGGTGCGAATAAAGTTTTTATATATCTATCTACTTATTTAGATATTTTTTAAGCATTTAACTTCGAGATGTTAAGTCCTAAGAAAAATCTACTAGAAAAAACTTTACGCGGAACAGGCAGCAGATGGGACTCGAACCCGCAACCTTCGCTATCCGGGCGAATGCACTGACCATTATGCTACCGTGGCCCTGCTGGCCATGTCGAAGTTTCTCTAGTGTTTTTTTTTTCTCTAGTTTCGCTGCAAGGCAGCGCCATCTCTTCGCATTGTAGGTAACCCACAATGTCAAATAAATACCTTTAAAAGTATTAAACATTTGAAAGAAGAAAAAGCAATTTTACTAGATATTTTAAAGCATTGAACTGCTAGATAATAATAGCTGGATAGATTATGACTCAATGTCCTTTGATTTTTTGATTTTGATTACATGAGGTTTTATGGCACGTTTATCACTTGGTTTCGGCATGATCTACAATCGTTGTTAGTACCTATCGGAACTGGTCCGCATGGAGCTTGGCGTTCCATAAAAAACTATGCCCCAGCAGAGTGGGGATATGACAATGATGAATCCCGTATGGATGCTTTCTGCTTTAATTTTAATACTCCGTCAGTCTGATAAATGTCTAACATCACTCCACCTGATAGTGTATTGGTCAAGTGTAGGGAGTAGAGATTCTTAAGGCAACCAACCACTTAAGCGTGTGCCAGCTAGAACGCTATTGCTTAACCCAAGAAAACTCTGACAACCTAGCTTACTACAGGAACAACATACTACAGAAGACATCTATTTGGTTGCAATCCTCTGCAAGGTGGAAGATATAATACCACTAGACTGATGCGGTGCTCCAATTCGACATTGGGTCCACCTCTACATCTTTAAAACTCTGGATGTGGAAACTCATTCAATAACTAGGTCTATAAGGTCGCGCCTATGAAGAAAATATATAAATTGGCGACGCCTGATATTCTGTACCTCTCCTTTGTATTGTATCATCCTGAATTCATGGCCCTTATTGGAGTTTACTCCTTAAGAATCGATTTGCATATATAAGGGGCCCGGTATTAGAAAAATGTGAGGAGTGAAATCTATCGATGAATGACCTCGTTACTAGAGCTGTAGCAAACCGTATGTATTCGGTACTGAGTAACGGGTGCGCCATCTAGTACCAAGTAACGAAACGTTACACACAAATAAATTTCGTTACTCGCATTTTTCGTAGTATGACTATTCTATATGTTTCAGTTTACTCAAGTACAGTTGATGTGTGTATAGAAACATTTGCTCATCGTATATTTAAGCATGCGCGGGCATATTCGGAGAATTTAAAAACGTACGTTGGAGTTTTTGGTGGGATTTCATCGAGTGCGGTTGGCGTCTTATTATAATTATTCATAAATTCGTTCATAGTGGATATTGTGAAATAAAATTGGTGTGATTTTGTGTTACAACCGTCTGCGTAACTGAAGAATTAGTGGAATCGTTAAAATATACGCTGTTCCGGTCAAATGGACGTGACAACTTTATTGTCGTGTTGACTACCTCACAGAAGCTTATCGAAAAAGCCAACTTGATAGATTTGGTTTAATTTTTTTTTTTTATAATTTTATTTTGAGAACTAAAGATTTTTGTTGTAGTTCTTTCTTTCGTTATGTTTAATTTCATTCTAAGCAAAACTATTTTTATTGTGTTTTATCGTTAGAATGCTATTTAAGTATTATTATCAATACAATAATTTTCGACATCTATTTGTTGCTTTTTCATTATTGCGATGTTATTGTGATATAACATAAGCTCACGGTTAAAAATTTCAAAAAAGTATAACCGATTTTTTATGAGAAGTAACGAGTAACGTAACGATACTATAGTAACGAGTACTAGTTGTTAAAATAACGAATACATACGGGTACGCTTTATTTCGTTACTTTTACACCTCTACTCGTTACGTTTATAGTGCGCATCCTGTTCGAGCCAAGATGACTCTTAAATCCGAGAGCTTAGGTACAAAAGAATTAAATTGAAACTACAGTGTATTTTGTTAGACCGCAGATTTCTCTATTAGTTAGGTGACGTTTTGCCTATATGTAGCTCCAAACATATTTACAAGCGTGATGCAATGCAACGAACTACAGCGCCATCTATTTTGATACATATGAACTAAAATTTTAAATACACAAATGGCGTATACATAATCGCCCACCAAGGACAAACTGATTTAATTAATATTTAAAAAAATGATAATAGTCTGATAATAATAATTACATAATTTATCAACATTCCTAATGATATATTTATGCACATCTGAAATTGACTATAGTAAAAAGTTTAATGTAAAATATTTCGTCGATTAGTTATAATAAATGTATATGAAATGAATAGATATATATTTATATATGTACATTATTTTCATTAATTTGTTAATTTACCCTTTCATACAGTATCAATCTTTTTTAAGTTAAATAAACTCTTTTTGCGTCTGGTTAGACTATCGAACTTAAGGAGTAAACTCCAGTCGTGCGTCGGAGCTGACACACACAATTTTTCATCATCTAAATAATGGACGCAATATCTTGCGTCACTTTATTCGATTCGCTTTCTTCCATTAATTAATTTTATAAAACGAGATAATCTTTCTTAAAAATTGAGGCCAAAACGTTGATACTTATTACCTTGTAAAAAGCCAGTACTGATTTTTGGCACCCGAACCACTATCGCCATCAAATATTGAAGTGGAACCTGGTATGGCGATCAACAGGTCACCATTCAATGAATCGTTTAACTTTGCCGGCATCAAAGTCTCTCTCTCCTGGCCGGACACTGCAATCAATTACAGAAAATTCTTGTTTTATCAAATAGTATTTTCACTGCTACTGATATATAACTTGCGTAATGCCGTGAACTGCACAGCCTTTGTTCGCTGTTCGTGTCGCTTTATTTAAAAAGCCAAAACAGGGGGGGCTAAAATAGCGAGATTGCACGTTTCAAATATATTTTTCATACGTACATGATATTATATTGTCACGAACAACCTGGAAACACATTTATACAGAACGTTGCGGCCGTCGCTCGATTCATCACCAGCGCAAGCAATTATACACAGTGTCTCACAGACAGACGCGGCTAACCTGCGGCTGCGGCCATCCCTTAATGGTTGCTCGTGTTTAAACACTCGGTAACATTTGCAAGCGAATACAATTGGCAGCCACCCCGGCCGCGACCTCAGGTCGAGTCTGTCTGTGAGACATGAGACTGTGAGACATGAGACACACATTAAAAGAGGTTTTAGATGTTTTGTTTTTTTTTTTTTTTTTTGTTTCCTCCCAGGCGGGGGAGAGGGTGAGAAATCCTCATGGATACCCTACAGCCGGCTGTAAGGTTATGTCAGACTCCTACTGACTAAAAAACACCCTTTATTCATGCTTATGGCCAGAAGGGCCTTACAAGCTTCATCTGAAGCGATCACCCCCCGAGAGGGGGATGAGATGTTTTGTACAATTGTCGCTATTTTATACCCCCAATTTCCCTGAAATATCCGTGCAATCCACGGCAATTCACAAGCAACAGTAATAAGTTAGACTGTACAAAATATAAATTATAGAAAACTTGTAATGATAAGCGTATAAGTAAACAAAATTATTCATATTGAACTGTAATTCAATAAAAACAAAGATATATCCAAATGACTTACCATTAATATTCAAAGGATATCCATGTGAACAAAGCGACACGAACCGCGATTAAATATATAGCAATCCACGTTGAAAGAACTGCTGAACGAATCACTTTAAATAGGTACCTACCACTAAAAAGAGAAGAATCTGTTCAGTGTCATAGGTAACTACATTGCTAATAAATTGCTACGCTTAAAGCACATGATTAAATGACTATAAAAGCAAATTTCAAAAAAATAAGAGTTTTCTATGCTCTGTTAATAACAAGAGGAGAGAGTAAAATAGAGTAATAAAGTTATGGGACAAGTAAAATTATTGCAATGAAACTAATCAGACGCTGTCACGGAACTCCATCTAATAGGTAATATCTAATTATTATGTTATCCACAGAAATAAATTTATTTTAGTAGTGTGGGTTGGATAAATGCATTTATAACTAATTACTTAAACAAGTATTTTTAAATAATTTCCAAATTTATTTAGTGAATAGATAATCGAAGATTGACAAGATGGTAAAACGATACATTTAAATTACACAAAACAATTTTATTTGTCTTCTTCATCAACTCTGCGGATTTGTCGCTTCATCGTTGTCAGACATAACTGAAAATAAATATTATGACAAATAAACAATTATTATGGACAAGAAGAATATACATAACAGTACTTAACTTGATATGAACTGCTTTCATATCAAGTTAAGTATATAAGTTGCTATCTACAAGCAGATGATAACTTATACGCCCCACAACACAATAAAAAGTAGTAGGTAACTAATAAAAAGGAAGTACTAGGATTTACCATTAATCTCCACACCACCCTCTTCAGTATAGCCTTCAACACATTCAGGACACACTGTGGTATCGCATGGGTTTGGCGACGTTGTAGGGAAGGATGGGGCCAGCTCAGCCGGTGGAGGCTAAAAGGAAAAATAATTGGTTAATTTATTTTGTTGAAACTACAACCTTTTATTTCTGATCATGAAGTGGGTGCCACCGCGCCATGAGTGGATTTGGATTAAATGTCCTAATTCTTCGATTGGACTTTTCCACTTGTAAGAAAAATTCAGACTTTACTGAATCAACAAGAGTGATTGTATCAACAATCAAAGATCTACTATTTTCTCCAAGAAATTTTATATCCAAACGAAAATCCAATAGCGTGATATGTAAAAGAATAAAAAATACCTCGAGATATGGCCCAGTGAATTTTATCTGATAAACATTACATAGGTAGTTTATTGTACAATAAAATACACCTATTATAAAAAGAAAAGTATTTTTATATTTTTCGAATTTGGAGATGCTAAAAGCATTTGATATGATCTCTACTTATCCTTCTGGACAAACTTGAAAGTTTTGATGTTTGGAATCTTGTGGGAACCTCCAATTAATACTTTTGTAAGTATATATGTCTATTTAATACTGAGTTCATTATCAATAAGTCCAGCTGCCTTGAACTTGCTAAGTTTGCTTTATTAAATTTGGAGTTCCACATTTTAGTTTTAGGTTCTACCCATCCTTTTAACGTACATTATCTTTTTAATTTTTCTAAGCGGCATTACCAATTACTCCAGTGGTGGCATTAATAAAAAACTAAGCTACAACAATAATGCAGTGCCTGGGGGCCTGGGGTATTGTATTACGGTACTGACCATAGCTAGAAACGTCGGAGTAGCAGTGTGACGGTATTAATCACTAGTACTATTAGATTTACCTCTAGGCGATACAGGTACGACAAGCGACAGGGGTCCCACGAAGTACACAACGTGGCGTTATGCATCATGTCTTTCCTTGGCTCATCACCAAAGTAATCGAACGTTATCACAATGTTATTGTCTATGGCGCAAATGTTCAAAAACTCATCGACGGCCACTTTTGTTTTATTACCACAATCTAAGGTTCCGTTTTGGAAGTAATTGTTTTCTCGTTCTCCGTTTCCCAAGCAGAACATCCAACCTTCATGGAACGAGTACTCTATTGGCGCCATCTCAGCTTCTATGCAAGGATCCACGGGAACTGATATTGATGGTTTGCCGTATGTGCATTTCCTTTCATGCATGTTGGCTTGTACGCGGTAAGCATCCAAATCTGGCTCGGATCCTTCAGGACATTTATAATAGTTACCTGTAAATAACGGCAGCATTGGTAACGATTATAATTAGCATTCATAACTAGCCACCCGAACTTTATTATAAAATATTTCGGGTAATTGTACTCTATACTTTATGTCAACAATAAAGTACGCAAAAATACTTTATTTAATGTAGTTTGATTACTCGGGGATTAATTTTGCATAAAATATACAAAAAGAGATTGATAGGAAGAATTTTAAAAAACGTAAAACGGACAGACAGTATGTATAATATGTCGCATTCTTGCAACATTGGCATGACTGTATGGCTTTGTACCATGAACCATGACAATTTTTTTGTAGCTACAAATTATTTATTAAAAGTTGCTAGAAGCAACGTAAAATATATTTTTAAGCTTACTGATAAAGTGGAATAAAAAGTACTTTATTTTGGACACAATGTACTTTTTTTCTTCTTTTAATATCCAATGTACTTTATTTGGATATAAAAAAGGTGGCAACCCTATTCATAACTGACCAATTTATTAGAGCAATAATTACATCAATAAAATGAAAAATGAACTTAATTCTAAAAAAAAACACAAGAGTTAATTTATCTCATTTCCAAAATTATGCATTGCTAGAGCCTAGTAGATATTAGGTAAGTTTTTAAACTTGTGGGGTAAATTACCTATATCTAAGTTGCACAGTAAATCATAATTTTGGCGCCGAAGGCAAGGCATCAACCAGTCGTCTCCAAAGTAATGTTACATACATAAAAGAGAGCACCTTCGATCGACGTTGTAGTGACGCTTTTTCTTTACTGGTTAAAGTGCTTAACGTACCATTCTGTATGATATATACTGTTTTCTCAGTCGCGCTGATGACAGTGCGAACTGTGAGACCGTTGCCACCGCTCTTGATGTTCTCCATGAGGACCTCTTGAGCGGCGCGTTGTTCCCTCGACCACTTGGCTGCTTCTTCAGCCAGGATTTGACGGCTCACTTTTCCTGGAGCTTGAGTGGACTAAACAGAAAACACTCGCTTATCTTAAGTTAAGACTAAGACTTGATTAGTCTTAGAACGCGATAGTATGTACTGTAACGTCTGTTAACTATAGTTTGGCTCTTAGCACCAAGAAAGACTGGTGCGGCCCTAAGCTAACGTCGGGTTTCATATCAAAATTAAATTTTTTTGTGATAGGTACTCGTATTGTCCACAAAATAGTAAGGGGACAGAACTTAGTTTACGAAAATAAATTTATTCATCATCATTAGCCTATCATTGTCCCCACTGTTGAGACACAGGCCTTCTCTATGGATGAAATAGGGAGACTGGGGCGTGACACACAACGCAGGCCCAGTGCTGTTTGGTGGATGCTAACGATTGAAGATGCAGCCCTGGCCAACGCTTTAACATGCCTTCCGAAGCACGGAGGAGCTCAATATAATAAGTTTTTGAGCACCCATCCTATGACCGACCATTGCGATAGTTGATTAACTTTCGCAGGCCGAATGCGCTAATCACCAGCGCCATCGAGCTCCTTTTTAAATTTTAATTGTTACTCGAGGAAAACAAATGAACAAACTTTAAAACGTTGACACTAACTTGTGGTGGATTCTCCATGATAACGTGCGGACGACCAAGTGTATGCTGCCAGATCAATTGAGCGGCCACTTTATGTTTGGAGCTGTGATGTAGTGGCTGGATCTGCAGTATACCATACCAGGCCAACTCTCTGTACACACTGTCCGGGAGATATCCTGTCTGTAAAAGAAGAACTTGTTTTAATATAAGTAGGGTAGCTAAGACTTAAGTTACTACTACTCTACCTTCTAATGTTAGCAGGAAACCAAATAGCCGAAGAGATCATTCATCACTCATGGACAAGTACGATATTACAGAGGGGTCACTCACGAGTTGTCAGCCTGAAAACACTGATAATGTGTCTGATACGTGGAACCAAATGAAAAAGTTCTTCCGAATATTCTTTAATGTATAGAATAAACTTGAGCCAGCGCAACGTGCCTTTAAATCTGGGTGATTACTCCGTCTTAGGATCGCCGATATACGAGTTTTTTTCAATCGCGTCAAGTGTAGAAAGTTGGTGACATCAGTCTCTCCTTTTCATTCTGTATAGAGTATCCTTGTCATTCGCTATACAGAATGAAAAGGAGTGACTGATGTTAAAAGTTTAAGTTTAGAGAATTATGCCATAATCGACTCCATTGTTGTCAAATTTAAGTTTAGGTTTAAAGAATCATTAAATAAAACTAGTTTTTACGGGTTAATGCACGAAACTTTATTTATTTATTGACGTCTTTCGAAGGTAGCTCGACAATTTTTCGTGCATTAACCCGTAAAAACTAGTTTTATTTAATGAGTGATGTGCGTGAAAACCTAAGAAACAAATTAGAGAATCATGTCAGAATCCACAAGACTATTTTATTACTATAGAACTTACAGTATATTTTATGATGACGTAGGTTACCACTTTTATAATATGTACCTACAGAAGCATCGGAAATTTATAATATTACAATCATATCACCTTACCGATCGTATCTGTTTTGAAGTGAAAGCTTCACTGTGTTTAAAGGTACGCCGTACGAATTAGGGCGCCCATCTGGAGAAGTAACCCTCCACCTTATTAAAAACCACAATTAAATAACACTACCAGTTAGAAGTGTCGTGTTTCTGACGGTGAATAAGGTTCCAGGACTCCACGGGGTAGAGAGATAGGGTCAGACAGGTTAGGCAACGACGCACGCGAGTCGCAAGCGTTAGTATATAAATCATAGTGGCCGCTTACCATACGCTTGTTCGCCACCATTTAAACATAAAAATAGGCCTACCAATTATAAGGCAGCAATAGCTAGTAACGTGATCCCAAAAATGTTAGGTAGGTACTATGTAAGTGTGAATCGAATGGAAACCTCAGATCAAATTACATCTGAAATGGAAACATATTGAGTAAGTTTTTGGTTTAGTTATTTACCGGCATGAAATCCATGTGCCACTGAAATGTAAAATAAATTATATTAAAATATAAAAATATCAAAGTTATTGTTCTCTTATTACTAAAATTTCATTAAAGTATGTCTTGTACCTCCTCTTCAGTTTGTTCTGTCGTTTGTACTTCTGTAACAAAAACATACAATTTAAGTACCACATTTTGACTTTAGGTCGATGAGTTTGTTTCTGATTTAAGTGCTGATCTAGTGAAGGAAGCCGCCGATCATTTCAAAATTATTAATCTGAGGTTTAGTCGAAAATATTTAGACAAATGATCGTTTGATCAAAAACAGTAGGTAATCGAACAAATCTTTTCCCAGTGAAAGGTCTTGTATGCCATCCAAAAAACTTTTCTTGTCAGTTCTTGCGTTTCCGGTTACAGATAAAAAAAACTAGGATGCACCAGCTGCTAACTTTCTAATGCTGATAGTTAAAGTCTATTCGGCAAGCCCATTCAGATTCTGGAGCCGCCTCCGAATTTCTTTTCTCTCCGTTCAATCACGATGAACAAAAGGATGGTATTTTGACCAAACGTTCATTCGGCCTAAACGTTTTTGGAATTCTGGATTAGTGGATTTTACAGATGTCTTGAATTCTAAGAAAGTTTATTCAGACGCCTCGACGTTTTAGAGCACATTTTATTTCTCACCATCGTATTCGTTATCTGATGTTGCACCATGCAAGATCTGGAATCAAGAAACACATTTAACATTTACTTTGACATGACCCATTACACATTAGTATTTTTACTAAATCCGCAATCCTTAATTGATTTCGATCATTTATAAATTATTAGGTATCCTAAGTTTGAGCGAGCAAAGTCTCTCGTCTTTTTGTGTACAGGGGGCCAATCGCTTAACGGAAATGCTTTGGAAAACGCTAACGCTTACGATTTTATTTTGTTATTTCTAGCCGCCTGAGGTATTCATTCGCTCTTTCTTTTTCTTTAGCATTGGTAATAACAATATTAAAAAAAAAATAGCGTGAGGTATTCGAAAACCTCAGGCGGCTAGAAATAACAATATAAAATCGTAAGCGTTAGCGTTTCCCAAAGCATTTCCGTTAGGCGATTGGCCCCCAGGTTACGGCTAATGCCAGGAAAGATTTTATGAGGTTTTTTAATAAAATGGCGAGCAAACACGTCCACTTTCCTATTGATGACCAGTGCGACTATAATGAATAAAAACTCATTTAAAAACAAATAAAAAAATAAGCACCTGATATAATAATGAGATGAAAAAATTATATTTGTACAAGCGCATTTCTTCCACAAGTCAGGCCTTCAGAATCTTCGTGGGAACTTATTTTTAAAAAGTTTATTAAAGAAGTTATTAATTGGGAACCGTTATCGCATTCATCAAGTAAGTTAACAAGGTAGGTAGTTATTGTTTTTTATTGCTGTAAGCAAAGATTTTTTTAGGTTAGTAATCATTTTTAAGGAACAGTAGCTATGCTATATAATATTTAGATAATGGTTCTATGATCCAAAGCAAAACTATACCTAATCTTTAGCAAAAAAAAAACATTGCATTGATTTTCACGGCGACTGGCGACGGAGCCACGCGCGTGGTTATGGGAGTGCAGATCTGCATCATCGTACAGATTTCTCCACACAAAGTCGTGTTTCTCTGCATGTAGGCCTGTGATCTTCAACACTGCGTGATCTGCACCATAGCGAGTTAATGCGCGTTTTTAGTATGTATTGCATTACGAGCGTTTCAATACCAAGAAAGTTACTTGTAAGCAAAGTAAAAACACGTACTCCCGCGCTACGCAGCGTAGTACGGTAGTACATGTTTTTACTTTTGTGTATTTAACGTAGTGCGTCAATCATCTAACTTGGCTCGCATGTAAGAACTCAAAACCCGTGAAGAAAAAGGAAGAAGTTGTGGAGTATGTTTGGAAATGGAGATTATTTTTCGTGGACAAAATTTTAAGTGGACTAAGAGATTTTTTCCGTTGTCTACCTAGCTGGACCGTTGTAAATTCTTTCTTCCCTGTAGACTTCCTAGTTGGCCACTTTTCACAAATAAATAACATAGTTATATTTGTTTTTTTTTAAGCATTTAACTGCTAGATGTTTGTGCATTGTGGGTTACCTACAATGCGAAGAGATGGCGCTGCCTTGCAGCTTAAGGCTAGGAAAATTTCGACGCGGCCATCAGGGCCGTGGTAGCATAATTGGTCAGTGCATTCGCCCGGATTGCGAAGGGTGCGGGTTCGAGTCCCGTCCGCTGCCTGGTCCGCGTGGATTTTTTTCTAGTAAAACATAGTTTTAACTAATATAATTTTAATATTCCACATGATAATATGTAATATTGTTTTGGGTTAATATTTCATCTATTTTAAAACCACAAATGAGTATCAAATTCATAACAAACAAGTGGTATAAAGAACATTGGGCAAAACTGTATGGACGCTGCACCCACGTCCGCCACGGCTTAAATTACATTTCTTTGAAAGGCATTATAGGCATGATCATCTGTGCCAAAGCGCATAAAATTCCTCCGGGTGTGTCTTTATTATTTTAAGTTAAATAGCTACAAGTACTATCACGATCGAACATTAATGAAACAAGGCAATTAATTTAAACGGCCCTACATAAAGGGCTCAGGTATTATGGGAGTACTTCACATGGTGAGAGGGGCCCTTATGTTATTCTGCAGTGCTAGTGTAAATCCAAAAATCCTCGCTTAGCTTGGTATTTTTTTAAAACAGTCAGTTCGTTATAGTAAATTGTTTTCGACGTAAAACGGAGCGACCACCATCACCAATCACACAAACTTGTCCACGCATCGGAGAATTATTCCAGTTCATATTAATTCACAAAACCGATAATCTTGTTCCAATACCCAAAGCGTGTTAGTTAAAAATCAATCAAGTGACAGGGACCGCTTAATTAATCATTATTATGGTTACTAATAATATAAAATGAAAGTACCTTAAAGAAGTTATTAAGGTAATTAAATATGTTCATGTATTATGTCTTCCGTCCATTGTCCTTTAAAGAGTCCTTCATCCAAAGTAAAGAAAGACAGAGAGAGAGAGATGTACGAACGTTTACTTTCTACATATGGACGAAGGATTTAGCTATATCCTACGTCCATGTGGAGAAGTAAACGCAATACAAAACAATGCCTGTAAAGGAACGGAACGTTTTGTTTTTTATACTTTTGACATTTGATTTGAGTTTGGATTTCAAAGAAAACGATTGGGTGTGTAACTATTTTAGTGTATTTTATGAATGAAACGCTTCAAAAATATTGATAAAGATCAAATCATTTGAAAAAATGAATACGCTTGACAAACAACTGGCTGATTTAAGAATATACGCAAATGAATTGGATGCTAAACTGCAAGATGACATTAATGCAGCTAAGTTGAAACCCTCTATACCACCGAAAAAGAGCAAAGCACCACTACCACAAATACCTCAAAGCTACACTGTTAAGTCTGCATGTGAACCTTCCTATTCCTCTAGGCTAGAGTACGGAAGTCGTACTAGCTCTACATATTCAAATTTGGTGCCAGTAAAAAGTTGTATTGTTAGGAACACAGCCAGAGTGAGGAGTGGAGATGTGCTCCTTTACAGCAATCTTTTGCCGCCTGGAGGCACAAATCACGTTTATTCGAACGTGCCTGTTCAACGCAACGTTACGGAGAGTATCTACGGTGGAGCAGCTGACACCAGATCTGATGTATCAAGGATAAGCGATTTAGGTGCCCAGTCCAATTATAGTGAGCTGCGTCGACCCGGTTCCGCGTACCCACCATCGTCGGCATCTGTGAATGCTCAAGACTTCTCTACTTATGGTGGATCTCAAACCTCATCAACCTATGAATCACTTTATGAGCCTATCAACCCAAGACCCTGCAGTCAGTTGTCTGGGACTTCCCTGTATGGTGGTTATGTTGGAACCACCACTGAGCCCACACCTGAGCCTGATGAGGAGCTTTATTGTGGTAATTGTTATCGCTGTGGTGAGAAGATTATGGGGGAAACAACTGGATGCACTGCTATGGAGAGGATTTACCATATCAAATGTTTCTGCTGCCAACATTGTGGTATAAACTTGCAGGTATGTTTGATTTTTTTTATATTAATATTGATTTACATTTGATATAAGTTAATTTGACATTTTACAGTATTTCCTTACATACACACACATACTTGAGTGGGAAATTGAAAATTAACTTTAAGTAAATATACATCTGGCTGAAATAATTTGACCAAGATGTATTCTTGCACATACTCCAAAGTGAGATTGTCGACTTTTTTATTTTATTTAACTTTAAATGATTTTTATTATAAATTTTTATTATAATATATCTATATTACGTTATTGATTTAAGTTTCATACAATAATAAGATAAATCAGAGAGTATTTACTCATTGATGTATTTAAATTTCCAGGGCCGTCCATTTTATGCAGTTCAAGGGAAGGCACTTTGTGAACGGGATTACTTGGAAACATTAGAAAAATGCTGTGTATGTGGTGACCCAATACTGGATCGAATACTGCGAGCCACTGGTAAACCGTACCACCCAAGATGCTTCACTTGTGTTGTATGCCAGAAGAGCCTCGATGGGATACCATTTACAGTTGATGCTGTTAACCGTATTCACTGCATTGAAGATTTCCATAAAAGGTATTTGTTGTGAGTTTTTGACTAATGAGTATTATTTATAAATACAGAAAAAAATACTAGAAGAATTTCAACTTGTCCAAGGTCTATTTTGTAATCTATTATTTGTTATGTTCCACACAAGCAAATAATATTCATCTTATGAAAACTTTTGTTTACTAAATATTATAGCTGGTTTATTATTGTAGATATGCGCCACGTTGTGCCAGATGTCGCGAACCAATCGTACCAGAAGGTGGTGCTGAGGAGACTGTCAGGATTGTAGCACTGGATAAAAGCTTCCACATTGCTTGCTATGCCTGTGAGGACTGTGGAGCCTCACTTTGTTCACGTCAAGAAGGACGCGGTTGTTACCCACTAGACAACCATCTTTACTGTAAAGAGTGTAATGCGAGAAGAATCCAGGAAATAACCAGGAACATTAGCTAAATATTTACACTGTTGGAATTGAGTGCAATCGTATTGTAGTGCAGTAGTGTCCACTTTATTGTTATGCTTCAGGGAGTTAAATAGAACTACCTCAAAAATGATCTGATAAGCATGATTTTAGCGTAGTGCGCCTAATTCTTGATTGTAGTTAAGAATATATAACCTGATATCCACTGCTAGATATATTTATTACATTTACATTAAAAATAATTATGTTTTGGAAAAGTTTTCACATTAAAATGAAACTTTTTACAACATCTTTAAGTTTATTACATAATTTAGACTTTTGGACACCTTTCCGTGGCTATCAAATCTAAAACACTTTCTTCCAGAAAATGAGCTTGTAATTATGATTTCACTGCCTTTCAGTAATAAGGAACCGAAAAACTCAATACACATTCCTATATGCATTTAGAATATTGATAATTTGACAATGGCTGTGTAGACATAAGTATGTAACAATATTAGTTTTAAGTACAGTTAAATCTGATTGATTATTTTAATTAGGTACAAACTTCACAGTCAAGTACAGTACAAGTTACTACACCTCAAGCTGATCTGAACTTTAATGATTCCTTCTTAAGTCTGTTGAAAATTTTTCACAATGTACCTTGTACTGTTGACTGTGTGCTGTTTGTATGTGTGAATAATTTCTTTTTGCTACGTTTGTTTTTACAGAACTTCTAGCTAGGTTCTTACACATGTTGACCTAATAATTAAGAAGAAACAATATTATGCCTGCCTATACAATATTTTATAGTCTCATTACAACCTGTATTATTGTAAGAGCGAGCCTAATTAAAAACTTTAAATATAATTCTTATCTAAGTTTAAGTATTCTACAAACTTAATTTTGTATTTGATTTTTTGAAACAAGATAGTATTAAATTGTATGCTTATTATTAAAGTGCCATGATGTATTATTGTGAAGCTGTGTACCTAAAATGTTTGTATTAAATGTGTACTTAATGTTGTAGATATAGAAAACGTATGTTTTGTGTATGTATGTATGTACCTACTTAGTTAAATGACCTTGTTTATAGCATTTTTCACATAATATTTTAACACATGTTAATGTGTGGTTTTTAAGTAAAGAAAATATACTTTAATTGTAACTGCTATAAGTTGCATGTTAGTTTTTTTACTGTACTGTACTTTTTGTTTTGTTTTTGAATCAGTAAATATAGTTTAAATCATTAAAACTTTTTAAAAACACATTCAATGCGATTCAACTAAGAATAGGACCGACTGGGTGCCATATTGTGACGTCATAGCTGTCAATTCAAACCAGTCAAGTAGAGTGAGCAAAAAGCTTTTCTTTAATAAAACTTATTTGCCAAGATTATGTAAAAAATATATCAGATTTTTATTTATAAGTATTTATTTATTAAGACTGAGTGAGAAAAATCATTAATCAGAATCTAGCTTTTTAATTCAGCTCATCTCGGCAGTACCATCGGAGTAGTCTGCATCATCACTGATTCTTTCGGCTATAAAATAAAATATCGATAATTGTAGGTTTTAAAACGACAATTTTATTTAAAATAGAAACGGTCTTTTTATTTATAATAAAACTAAAGTTCTTCTTTTTCCCTTTTCTAGTACTCATTTTCTATACGTTTCAAATGATTTATTTCCTTCTTTTGTTTACAAATGTTTGGTATTTATTATAAGATTAGCTCGGTGCTAAAAAACCGTACTTTTCAAGCAACGTTTGGCAGACGGAGGTCATTGGCTTGCCTATTCTTATTGGAATCGCATAGTACCAATATTTCGATCAAGAATGGTGGGATTTTGTTCCCACCATTTTTGTTTGTTGTTGGGTAGGTAATAGCCCATCTTGGGTTCTGTTATCAACCAACTCGTTATCATAATTATCCCTAACTGACACATAATATTGGAAATAGATCAGGTTTGATCCTTAATTTATATAAAAAAAACTTTTTAGTGAAGATTTTAAAGTTAATGGCTTGCTTCATAAGGTTCACTTTGTCTTCTTATAGCCACAGTCGCACAGTGAACCTATTTTGTACACGTATTTATACCATAACCAAATTATATTTCCCTTCTTTGTATTTTTGTATTTTGGATGATATTTAGCATGTTATAAACTTGTGTACCTATCGTGTACAGCATGTTAGTTCTAGATATCAATATAACATTAATGTGTACAAGTTCCAAATAAATTACACAGTATTCATTCAATTTTATTTTTTATATATTGTCTTCATTTAATAAACAAAAATTGCTTGAATTCCATGATCGCAATAATTTAGGTATTTCATTACTGCGTCTGTGTGGAAAAAATGGTTTTCCATACCAATTTCCACCAACGCAGCGCAGGCCCTTACGGGTGATTTCTATAATAAAATCTATACTATGCCCTTTCCCGGGACTCCAACTGTCTCAAAACCAAATTAATCTAAATCGGTTTAAGCTGAAAACGTAATAGAGACACACAATTTTGCATTTTTAAATAGACTAGCGGCCGCCCGCGACTGCGTCCGCGTTAACTTTAGTTTTTTTTTAACTTTAGGAACCTAACAACTTTCCGGGATAAAAAGTATCCTATGTCTCAATCCATGTTCAAACTATGTTTACCAAATTTCATCCAAATCCGTTCAGTACTTTCATCGTGATTAAGTAACAAACATACAAACACAGATGCTTGCACTTCCAGGATAAAAGTAACCTATGTCTTAGTTCGGGTCATTACCTATATGCGTACTAAATTTCAACGAAATCCGTTTAGTGGTTGGGGTGTGAAAGCGCAACAAACAAACAAACATATATGATAATAATTAATCATATATATATATATATATGATTATTATATATATTTATATATAAGAATGGATTAAATACGCGGACCAGGAAACTGACGCACAAAGTCAAACGAATACCTTTACAAGTATTGAACATTTAAAAGAAGAAATAGCAATTAAGTAGTTATATTTTGAACTTTTTAAGCATTAAACTGCTAGAAGTTTAAAACTTAAAACAAATACTAGAAAAAAAATGGCGCTGCCTTGCAGCCTTAGAAATACTAGAGAAATTTCAATACGGCCATAAGGGCCGCGGTAGCATAATGGTCAATGCATGCGCCCGGAGAGCGGAGCTTGCAGGTTCGAGTCCCGTTTGCTGCCTGCTCCGCGTGGATTATTTTTGTAATAATCAATTTTCTTTAGATTAAACATCTAGCAGTTAAATGGTTAAAAAGTATAAAATATAACTATGGATTAAAAATATTCCAAACATAAACCCGATGGAATGATGGACCTGCGCCGCCGTCAGACCTAGACAGCAATAGCCTGAGACTGGTGGCGGGGCCATCACCCTGGTCACTGCTTACTGAACAAACACTTTCACACCCTAATTGGTATTACTGACTGTCTCACATGCTGAGCATGCATGGTCGCCCAGATCCACAGCGACATCTCGGTTCACCGGGAAATCTCCGCTGAAGCCCTAAGAAAATTGGGAAGATTGATCTGCTTCTGGGACCCGTGTGCGCTAGTTGGAGTAATCTGCCGCAATCTTCACATACTATCGATTTCTTCAACTGATATCAGCTTAATCTTAGCTGATTACTATGTTGTGCTAACAATGTATCGATTCCGATATAATTGTCATTCTCTATACAGAATTAAAAGGAGAGACTGATGTTAAATTTAGTTTAAGTTTACAGAATCAACACCGTTAAAATTCGCGTTTCGAGCTCCCAAGAAGGGGCATCAGCCATCCCTTCTTGCAGCGCACATGCAGTTTCTCCTTTTTTTTATCTGGGAAATGCCTTACGCTTCCTATAACCACCGGGGGAGCGAGAAGAAGATATGTAGGACTCCTCCCTACTGATTACAGCCAACCCTTGGGCCGGGTGAAATGAGCAGGGTCCTACCTAGCGCCCTGAACAGGGCCACTAAAAACCAGACAATACTCCTGCACCGGTCACCCGGCGTACATTCCGAGGACCGCAGTCCCCCCAATGCACGCCGGGAGTGCGGGTGTGATCGCGGCAACCGTTGCCGACTGTCCGCGCACCCGCAAGGTGATTGGCCGCGAACGGACCTACCCCGATGAAGATGCCCCGGAGTATTAGGGGCATCAATATCAGCGTTGCGTTATCGTTAAATAGTTGAGTCTTGTTTGAGAGTTCATCATTATGCGCCGGGCAGGTGGCCACCACACTTGTCTGTGCCACCCGCCCGCGCTTTCTCAGTACACTGCACGCACGGTCGAGTTATTCCCGAAAAGCGGGATTGAGCCCGCCCCACGTGGGACATTTAATTTTGATTTAAAAATCGGGACGTCTGGCAACGCTGATCAACATCCAGAGAGCTTTGTGCATTGCGGGCCTGTCCCCCCCAGAGCAGCCCCGCGGCTCTCACAACAGTAGGAGGGAGAGCGTAGTTCTCTCCGCCTCCTTGACATTGTTTCTCCTGCGATAGAGCGATAGCCCCAGATGGCCCTGACTGCGACTACGTACTGCGCACGTCTAAGGGTCGTTACATATCTAACGGAAAATGCGTCGAGCGTATCATCGACATTCTTCTTATACCTAATTACAATAGGCACGCGCCGCCAGGCCTCCCGCCCGGTAGTGTCGGAACCGCTATGCCCCTGATTTTAAAATCTGTAGTATCTTCGAAAATATTCATTGAAATTACATGCTTTAAAGGGCCAAATTGATCTGTATTATACACAATGTATTTACGTTACTTAATTGGATAAGGATGAATGTTATATTGCTGAAAATCGCTTCGTAAATAACTTATTATTTCTCGTAAAAATTATAAAATAAAAAATGGTTATTGTGGGTTATCCCGAAGAGATAGACATATACCATCGCAGACTTTTTTGTAGATCTTTTTAGGCGCTTTGCAGACGGCGGGGCGGAGCGAGCCGGTCAATTTCGCCGCGAACGACAGAACAAAGTGAATCCTATACTACAAACGCACACATATGGCAAAAAGACCGCGCCACAGGTGCCCGGCGGGCACTGGCGGCTCGGCGTGTCCGCGGCTGCCCGCTGTGGATCATATAAACCAGTTTATATTCAGTAACGCAGACGGCGCGGCGCGGGGCGGCTAGCTCAGTCCGCGCCACGCGCTTTTTAGTGATGGACTATTCACTAGAACGTCCTGAACTGACTGCCTCTGCCCGTCGTGTGCTTTGTGTACGCGGCGAGGGCAGCCGCAGTCATCGTCTCATCGACGGGCAGACGCGGTTTTTATTGCTTCGCGGACAAAAAGCCCGCCCCGCCCCGTCGTCTGCAAAGCGCCTTAAGGTGTACAATACTGTAGTACATTATTTGATACGGTTCAGCCGGTGTTTGCAATGTAAGCGCAAAAAATGTGTTTATTTACGACCTTACATCAAAAACCTCTAAAATTATCAGTTCCATTGTCATTATTTCCTCTTATATAATTATGCATGTATTATACATATAAACCTTCCTCTTAAATATCTTACTCTTATCTATTAAAAAACCGCATCAAAATCCGTTGCGTAGTTTTAAAGATCAAAGCATACATAGGGACAGACAGCGGGAAGCGACTTTGCTTTATACTTGCTTTTATATATATATATATATAATATATATATATATATATGTAGTGATATGCCTGATCTGGCGTTACGCGACGTATTTTCGTTCAGATATGTACCGCAAGGCTGGCAGCATTTCTGGCGTCTACGATTTGGCTACCTATCCGGTTTAATATATACGTAAATTAAGATGCTAAAGGATTAAGTGAATGAAACAAAATATAACTCATCAAATGTAACTTTTTATACAGACATTTTCTCAAGCACATCTTAATCGGACTTGTCGTCACCTTAAAAAACCTTAGGTCTACTTACACAATACAAATAAGAAGACTTTGGCTTCTTTTAAAATAGCAAAAAACAAAATTCTTGTTTTACGGTACACCCAACCAACCCTCAAAATTATGACACGAGCAAATGCGTCGGTATTATACAGTTTTTTCTATTACATCAAACTATTATTGACAATGTGAAAATTATTATACACTATGTTAAACAAAATTCGTAGTGTATTATATTTTTAATGCATAAATATTTTTTACATTAATAAAAATGTTCAAAATGTTGAATGTGTAATACAAAAATAAGCATACTGCACCAGATTTCAGAACCTGCAAACCTAATCCAATTTAATAATGTTCAATACAGCGAACTGGTCCCATAGCAAAACCTCAGCAATACATTATAATGTAACAAATTATGAAACCACAAATGTGAAAATCCATTGTATTTTAACAGTTAGATGTACATTATTTTCAGTGGCCATGCTACAAGACCCGATCTTACATAGTCTGTTGTCATATTGTGCTGTCTTGAAAATTATATGAGTGACATTGCAATTTCATTTCCCTTTTTATCGCCCAGAACAGACGTCATATTCTGATCTGTGGAATCTTCTTAATGAAACCTATTAAGATGAATTAGAATATTCAGAAATTGCATATAAATGGAAAAAAATATCTTAATTTAATATATAATAATATATATATATATATTCATGCATTTGCTTGAGCATTAATTGAACAACTCCACTCAATTACTCACACACTATCACTTCCCATTAGTAAAATAAAATGCTTTTAGGGACCCCATCAATAAGGAGGAATTTATTACAAATGGAGTCAGTTCTCATTACTTCTCACACTTTAGCAAACAAAAAATACGCAATTATTGTTTTCTTTGGTTGATTCTAAATAACTCATTAGTTATCCAACCAGGGGTCCCATAAAATTTTACTCTTATAGAGATTCATAACATACAATTTAATATAGCCAGTCTATATGTTACTATTTCAGTGCCCTATGAAATTTTCAAATGTAATACATATTTACACAACGCTATGCGATATTAAAGGGCAACATATATGTCTTAAATACATTTGAAACAACTTACTATAAATATAAATTTTTGAATCAAAATATATTGAAAGTAAATCATATCATATACCTGTACTAATAATGTGCACCCATTTTATATTGTACTATCAACAGCATATCAAACATATCACTTCAAGACATGGATCATTTGATTGTGTGGATATAAACAATTTGAAATTACAGATATTTTTAAGTAACACCGGACCTAAATATTGCTAAGGTTTAAAATATACCATATTGTGATAAAAGTGAGCAATAATTATTGCAATACATATTTTGTAAGGTTCCAAAAGTATTATGTGTATTGTCAAAAAGTTAAATATTATCAGTATAAGCAGCCAATCAAATAAGGAATGTATTAGGTGTAATATTTACAGTGAGGTGACCTGCGACACTGGGTGCAGCATCAATATGCAATAACTATGATATAATGACTAATACTACTATAAACATAGTTAGTTTCTTACAATTTATACAAAGCATACTCTCTAAAGTTGTCACTAAACTTATTATAAGCACTAAAGCTTCGAACTTTTGGATTAAATCAACCACATGACAAAATATAAAAATCATTCATCAAAGCAGACCAATGACACTTCATAAACGCAGCTATTGTAAAAGTATAAAACACCATTCACGGATATTTCACTATTTGAAAAAGTAAAAAAAAAAAGTTCCTGTGCCTGTTATATTATGACAATTAAAAAATATTTTTTGAGAAACAGATTGTTTATAATAGACCACAAAGTTAGTAGAATTTGCTTAAATACTGTGATGGACTTGCAAACTTTCTTTTAGTTTGCTTCAAATGCACCCAGTGATAGAATTATAAAATTGCTATAATTATATCACTGGGTGCATTGTGTAATGGGATATACAGATTTGTCATTGATTGCTGTACAATTGTCAGTAATTGGGACCGCATTTCATTTACAGGACATATTCTCATAACTATTATTTCTTTGTGTAGTATTCCATTGTCATTATTTTAATCATTAATGAATCGCTTAAAGTCAAATTTAGTGAATTCCTGTTTCATTTAAATATTTTTTTAAGTATTAGTGAATGTAGAATGAGATTTTTGTTAGTTTAGATAACAAAATGTCACATTTCCAATACAGTTGTGATTTTTCTGGACTCAATTATCATCAACACAAAAAGTAATTTGTAGGGACAGTTAATTAATAATAGTTAAATGAAAAAAGGTTGTAGTCAAATTTACAAAAATTGTGTAATGAAATGAATCTTCTTTTGCAGTTCCACACTCCAAGAATATCAATAGAAGACTTCTTGTAATGAGCAGAAAAAAATATAAAAGCTACCATTTGAATAATTCATGATAATAGAGATCATTGCAGTAGATTGGACACAACACGTTATGGTTTACATTTGGCAGGCTCTAAAGTGTACTTTAGATATTACATTTTTTGTGATTCTGCTTAACCAAAGTTGGCAAGATATTGCAAAGCTATAGATTTTTCTTCGGTTAATGTTTCATATAGCCAAAGTAGTCCTGCTGATCCTCAAGTGGAACTATCTTAACTGTTTTATTATAAAGTAAGGAACTGTTCCATATCTAATGACAAAGCTAACTTCCAGTGTTGAGTCATATACAATAAAGCTATTAATTTTTCTTCTTTCTTCCATATTTGATATTCAGTGTTTGTACACCAACACTATAGCATAGGATACTTAGGATGACAGATAAAGACTTTCGTGAAGTCAACCCTTGTTTGCAACACTATATGCAAGAGAAATTGATGTATAATTGTACAAACACTAACACATCATGTTAGGAAGGTAGAGGCCAGCCATTTTCCACATCTGGATCTTTTGTGTTTTGCTTTCTTAAAATTTAGATTCCAGATTACATTTCTTGGTTTTGTAGTTAGTAGCAACAAGTCATTGGAGACATCTTGGAGTTGGATTCTGATTTTTCCTTAAATGCAAGTATTTCGGTGTACAAACACTAACTTGGCAGGTGTACTACATCTTAAGACATTTTACATTCTGCTCTACATTGTCTTAGACAACAGTGATTATTCTCACATCGTATATCCAATGATACCAATGTTTTAACACAATCATGGCATCTTCATGAATTAAATATGTTTTCTTACTTCAGATCCCACTGTACATTATCTTCTATTCACAACAACGACTGGTCTTCTATCAGACACTTCATCTTGTATTCACTTAAGTCACTTAACACAAACACTGACACTATTTCACCGGAACATTTTCTTTCGATCCTTTTCTTTTTCAGCACTCGGGTCCCATTCGACATCATCAGGGTCGTCTGCGTCAAAGGCGGGGTTGGACATCGGCGATAGATCGCTGGAGTAGTCGTCTGGCAGGGGTGGTAGAGGGGGAGATTGTTCAGGGGAAGGAGGCCGAGTGAATCCCTCGGGCATATCGGCCACCATTCCCACGTACGTGCATTCCGGTAGTGGGAACTGACGCGGCGAATATGGGCGTACGCTCTAGAAGGAAAAAGATAAGTTTAGTTCAACACTGTTCTTTGTAAAAGCTAAAAAACAAAAAACTAAAAACTAGCAGCCGCCTGCGACTTCGTACTCGTGGTGTTAGTTAGAAACAAAGGTTCACTACTCGTTCCCTGCGGGGCCGGCGGCGGGTCGGCGGCGGGCTCCTGGGGGCGGCGGTGTCGGGTGGCTCGCGCGTATCTACCGCGCTCGCCTCATATACGTACCTCGCGCGGTTCCTGCGGGGGCGCGGGTGGTGGCGGCGGCAGGGGCGCGGGTGGGGGCGGGGGCGGGGCCGGCGGAGGGTCGGCGGCGGGCTCCTGGGGGCGGCAGTGTCAGGTGGCTCGCGCGTATCTACCGCGCTCGCCTCATATACGTACCTCGCGCGGTTCCTGCGGGGGCGCGGGTGGCGGCGGCGGCAGGGGGGCGGGTGGGGGCGGGGGCGGGGCCGGCGGAGGGTCGGCGGCGGGCTCCTGGGGGCGGCAGTGTCAGGTGGCTCGCGCGTATCTACCGCGCTCGCCTCATATACGTACCTCGCGCGGTTCCTGCGGGGGCGCGGGTGGTGGCGGCGGCAGGGGCGCGGGTGGGGGCGGGGGCGGGGCCGGCGGAGGGTCGGCGGCGGGCTCCTGGGGGCGGCAGTGTCAGGTGGCTCGCGCGTATCTACCGCGCTCGCCTCATATACGTACCTCGCGCGGTTCCTGCGGGGGCGCGGGTGGTGGCGGCGGCAGGGGCGCGGGTGGGGGCGGGGGCGGGGCCGGCGGAGGGTCGGCGGCGGGCTCCTAGGGGCGGCGGTGTCAGGTGGCTCGCGCGTATCTACCGCGCTCGCCTCATATACGTACCTCGCGCGGCTCCTGCGGGGGCGCGGGTGGTGGCGGCGGTAGGGGCGCGGGTGGGGGCGGGGGCGGGGCCGGCGGAGGGTCGGCGGCGGGCTCCTGGGGGCGGCGGTGTCGGGTGGCTCGCGCGTATCTACCGCGCTCGCCTCATATACGTACCTCGCGCGGTTCCTGCGGGGGCGCGGGTGGTGGCGGCGGCAGGGGCGCGGGTGGGGGCGGGGCCGGCGGAGGGTCGGCGGCGGGCTCCTGGGGGCGGCGGTGTCAGGTGGCTCGCGCGTATCTACCGCGCTCGCCTCATATACGTACCTCGCGCGGTTCCTGCGGGGGCGCGGGTGGTGGCGGCGGCAGGGGCGCGGGTGGGGGCGGGGCCGGCGGAGGGTCGGAGGCGGGCTCCTGGGGGCGGCGGTGTCAGGTGGCTCGCGCGTATCTACCGCGCTCGCCTCATATACGTACCTCGCGCGGTTCCTGCGGGGGCGCGGGTGGTGGCGGCGGCAGGGGCGCGGGTGGGGGCGGGGGCGGGGCTGGCGGAGGGTCGGCGGCGGGCTCCTGGGGGCGGCGGTGTCGGGTGGCTCGCGCGTATCTTCCGCGCTCGCGTTGTTCGGCGCGCACGTGGCGAGCGTGTACCGCCGCCTCGGATATGTCTTCATCCTGGACAGAAATACTTACGGTAATAATATTAAAACAATAGGTCTTCGCCCATCTACACGACTCTGCTCCTGAACACCACCCTAAGCCAAGGCGACTGCTCGCAGTCCACGCGGCGATAGCTATAGAATTGCCAGCAAATTTTGCTTGGTAATAATCGAAGAATGACCTACTAGTGGTCAGTGCGCGGACACAGCGCAGACCGCTTGCTTGTAACACGTGTGGTAAGCGAGCCGTCAACTATCAAGCAGTCTGCAATAAAGGCAGTCCTCGTACTTACGGCATGTTAGGTTTAAACTATCATAGTTTTCGTAATTGTAAAACTCGTACTAAGGGTACTGCGTTGCCAGCTTATTGCAGTTCTTAAATAGTGATGTACTACTATCGGAAATTAACGATCATTAAATATTTAGTATCGTTTTTTGTTTACATTTAAATACATACAAAAAAAAAAAATAACCTAATCAATTTTAGGTTTCTTACAGTACTCACTAACTAAAAACACGTTTATATATCGTACTCGTGGACATACCTCGCTTTCCATAGATAGTAGATCAGATGATTTCGAGACCCCATTGTTCAATGCCACTTCAGGTATCTCTAACACACGCCATCTGAAAAATAAAAAGATTTTGGTGCATACACAGATCCATCATCAACTTTTTGCATTAATAAATAAATTAGCATTTTTGCCGCGGGTTTGTGTCCCGTCTGCTGCCTGGTTTTCGTAAACTTTTTCTAGTAATAATTTCTTTAAATTTAAACACAGAGCAGTTACATGCGCATGTCCGACTCGGACAGTCGGACACGCGCACCGAGGGTTCCGTACAAAAATTTTCAAAAATATTTTTTATTATATGATGTTACTAAAAATTTACGGTTTTCGCAATTTTTCCTTTATCTGTACTATAAGACGTTAGTTCGTACCAAATTTCAAGACTCTAAGTTCACGAGAAGTACCCTGTAGATTTTGATTCCCGTGCGAGTTTCGAAAATTTGCGGCAATAACGGCTGTATCTTTTGATTGCTTTGGCTTAGAAATTTGATTTTTTCACAGCTCCAAGGGACAGTAGACCTGAGTATTAGATATGAATTTCAGTTTAATACCTCCACGCGTGATAGACGGACGGACGGACAACAAAGTGATCCTATAAGGGTTCTGTTTTTTCCTTTTGAGGTACGGAATTCTAATAATTACAACTGATATAATGTTACTTGGGTGTGAGGATCTCCTTGTAGGTGAGGATCTGCGGGCGAGTGTTGGCAGCCACGCTCTGCGGTATCACGATGTTGTCGATGTCGTACGATTGGCGACGGGCGCGGCTTTCCGTACTGGCTCGGCCGCGACCCCTGTCAACAAATTAAATTTCATTTTACTGCCATTAAATTAGATATAATGTTTTGAAGTTACTTGCGACAGCCTACACTGTAATAAATGAGTTTGAATTTGAATTTTGTCTTTGAATTTGAATTGGCAAATACCGTGCGATAGGGACATCACTCACTAGCTAACGCTGAAAATTACGTATAAAATTGCAAAAATTGGAGATTTAGCTCGCGACGATTTCCTTCTCGAAAATTTATTATCTGTAAAAGAAATATTAGTCATAGAATAATAAGTAGTTTTACTAGGCCTCTACGTTTTCCTTTTTTTGTAAATGCTTATTGCATCTCCACACTAGGCGGCTTTATTAAAAAAAAATGATTTATTTTGGGCATTTTAGAGGGCTTCTAGTTTCTTTGAAACACAAATTATCGAAAAAGGGAACAAGAGAATAGAATGAGTAAAAAAATGTATGTATGAAAATCATTTCTTTGGTGATAAAAATGTAGGAGCAATCAGTCGAAAACGTTTGTATGGAAAAAACCATTGTGCGCCTCCCATCTTAATGCTTAAAAATTTTATAATATAAACAGGAAACCACTTTTACCAATAAAACGCAATGAGTGAGAGATAAAGAACGGAGGCCTTTTATCCCTTTCTAATAGGATGACCCTAACTTTTATTTAAGAGAATTCAAATATTAAAATAAACAAGGAGAAGTCATGCAGAAGTTAAAAGATACCGTCATGAACCTAAAGCGCGTGGAAGGCACTGCTAAACGACGCAAAAGCGTCATCGCGTTTCTATGCAACGACAATTTTCAAAAATAAATATTTTCTTTGAAAGTCTAATAATTTTGACACCAAAACTTATTGCGCAGTTTATACATGAAAAGGTATAAAAAAAAACAAGACAATTATAAAATTTGTATGCAAGGAAACAAACAAATACGAAATCATGTACAAGTATTAAAAGTGACTCACCGTTCATTACTTGATGTAGTAGTAGTAGTCTCCTCATCCTTTTCACCCTTGCTGTCTCTTTCTTTTATTTTTCTTGATAGTGGTGGTCTACCTCTTTTCAATCCTGTAAATAAACAATGATAACGTAAACAAAGTCAATTTAATGATGTTATGACTTGACAATATACCTTATCAAATTATATTTTTTATTTATTTTCGCAAGCTGGTTCAGATATAAAAATATAGATAACTAAATAAATCAACAAAAAAAAGAGACTGCGCTAAGAGGCGGTGCTGTAACATGACGCAACGTCACAAGTGCGAGGTAGAAAGGTGCTTCCACTCTCATTACATATTACTACTATAGACTTTTATGAAATAAGTCTACATATTACAGGAGATTCGTAGCGATGCAACGAGTCGATAAAATTCGGGGCGGCTGTGTACCGGGGCAGGTGCTCGCCCGCGGGGCGGCTGTGTAGTGGGGCGGTACTCACGTGTGGGCGGGCGCTTGTGTCGAGGCGCGGGCGCGGGCGCGCGCGGGGCAGGTGCTCGCCCGCGGGGCGGCTGTGTAGTGGGGCGGTACTCACGTGTGGGCGGGCGCTTGTGTCGAGGCGCGGGCGCGGGCGCGCGCGGGGCAGGTGCTCGCCCGCGGGGCGGCTGTGTAGTGGGGCGGTACTCACGTGTGGGCGGGCGCTTGTGTCGAGGCGCGGGCGCGGGCGCGCGCGGGGCAGGTGCTCGCCCGCAGGGCGGCTGTGTAGTGGGGCGGTACTCACGTGTGGGCGGGCGCTTGTGTCGAGGCGCGGGCGCGGGCGCGGGCGCGCGCGGGGCAGGTGCTCGCCCGCGGGGCGGCTGTGTAGTGGGGCGGTACTCACGTGTGGGCGGGCGCTTGTGTCGAGGCGCGGGCGCGGGCGCGCGCGGGGCAGGTGCTCGCCCGCGGGGCGGCTGTGTAGTGGGGCGGTACTCACGTGTGGGCGGGCGCTTGTGTCGAGGCGCGGGCGCGGGCGCGCGCGGGGCAGGTGCTCGCCCGCAGGGCGGCTGTGTAGTGGGGCGGTACTCACGTGTGGGCGGGCGCTTGTGTCGAGGCGCGGGCGCGCGCGGGGCAGGTGCTCGCCCGTGGGGCGGCTGTGTAGTGGGGCGGTACTCACGTGTGGGCGGGCGCTTGTGTCGAGGCGCGGGCGCGGGCGCGCGCGGGGCAGGTGCTCGCCCGCGGGGCGGCTGTGTAGTGGGGCGGTACTCACGTGTGGGCGGGCGCTTGTGTCGAGGCGCGGGCGCGTGCGCGCGGGGCAGGTGCTCGCCCGCGGGGCGGCTGTGTAGTGGGGCGGTACTCACGTGTGGGCGGGCGCTTGTGTCGAGGCGAGGGCGCGGGCGCGCGCGGGGCAGGTACTCGCCCGCGGGGCGGCTGTGTAGTGGGGCGGTACTCACGTGTGGGCGGGCGCTTGTGTCGAGGCGCGGGCGCAGGTGCGCGCGGGGCAGGTACTCGCCCGCGGGGCGGCTGTGTAGTGGGGCGGTACTCACGTGTGGGCGGGCGCTTGTGTCGAGGCGCGGGCGCAGGTGCGCGCGGGGCGGGCGGGGCGCGGGGACGCGCGCGCCACCGAAACCACGCGCGGGAACACAGTGCCGCCAGGTGCTCGCCAGCTGGAACATCTGGATAGCACACAACACAAAAAGTGTTCAAGACAGGGTCCAAAAATAATACGTGCTTTTTTTTAATACTAAAGGCTGGTCCTCCGACGCCGGTGGTTAACCGGAGGTCCGTGAACCACTGGTGGTCCCCCAAAGCACACAAAGTGGACCACTTAGGCCATTCAAAAAAATATTACATGAGTAAGAACTTTGATTGATTTACAAAATCAGATGGTGGCCTGTAGCAAGACACAAATTTTGACAGATGGTCCCTCGTCACTAAAAGGTTATGAATCAGTAGTATAGACTACAGTTTTTGTTCTTGTATATAGCTCACGACACTCATAAATAACATAGCTTTAGATTTTCAAAAGGGCGGAGGCCGCCGGATCCGACATCGTGGGCTCTCTACAAGCATCCATATCGTCATAGGTCTCGCAACTCACCCTTAATGTCGCTGAGCACGGGGTGGTAGGCTGGGTCGCAGCGCGCCAGCTTGAGTGCGGGCGGGAGGGTGGAGGGCGCCGGCTCCGGCATCGTGGGTTCGGCGCGGCCGGTGCAGACGCCGCAACTCTCCACGGAATACTGGCAGCTACAACTGAACAACGAAGAAACACTCTTATTAAGCTGTAATTATATTAGACAGTATAATATTGCTTTCATTATTGATTTGATTAATGCTTCATCGATGAAAAACCGAAAATGAAATGTCTTAATTGACGTTCACCAGGTTGTGCCTTCGCGATAAAGGCTCTGGCTCCCGAATGTTTTCACTAGCATTGATCATGCCTGTCATATCATTCATCGGCAATAAACGACAAGTGACATGTCTAAACAGCGACACCATATTCACAATACATTTATTACAGTCTCAGTATTTATTCTTTAATTAAATAACTCGACACAGATGGTGTTCACGCGAAAATTTCACAAAGAATGAAATGTTAGATTACATCAAAAATTATGCATCTATACAAACTATGCATTTTACTGTTCATCATTCACAAATCATCGCAAAAAAGATTCACTTTTGATGAACCGTCAAATTCCGCCTTTATAAATACGCATTTCTTAGGCCGTATACAGAAAGAAAGCTGGCAGCTGGTAGGCACCAGCGCTTATAGGAGTGGTCCGCGCAGGGGGGCTATCGCCTAAAGGGATTGGCTATGGCTATCATAATATGGCTCTCATGACAAGATTTTTGCTCAAGCTGTTGACCAATAAAATCCTGAATCGCTAATTTAAAAGTAATACTGTTGAGTTGCTGATAGTTTAAGTAATTCAAAAACCAACTCAATCAATAACTATTTCAAATAAATTTTTGGTTGGCACCTCCCATACGTATAATTTCAATGTAATTTTTTGTTGTCATCTAACCCTGGTATTGCTGGATAGGTATTTTAAGAATATTAAGTTTTTTAAAACAATGTATATTTGGTAAAAGTTAAGCTTTTAAAGTAGTATAAATTTTGAGCAGAATTTAAAGATCATTAAAAATTCTGATATGAATAATTTTAATTAACTTTAAACTGTTGTAAAATATTTTCAAATGGCATTTATTTTTGTAAACTGGCATCTTATATAACAACCTGCATAAAATACCCAATCAATGAGCTAATTACTTTAGACAGTTTCCATAATCATATACCTAATTATATATGAAGTATTGTGTTAGTAATAAGAAATAAATAAATTTCAAATTATCAACTGTTCAGTTTATTGCACACAGCAAGCAGGCAACATAAAATTTACATGCAAGTGAATGTGCAAAATATTCATCAATTTGCAAAATAAACAATTTAATTACATTATTTTCATGATTATACAGCGGTTCTTCTATTTCATATAAATCCAATCAAACTATTTCGGCGTCATCTAACAATAACCAGTAATAATCTGTCTAGTCTTATATTGTTACAATCAACATTGATGAAATTTGCACAGCAGATTTTAGTATAACTAGCAACTAATTATATTTATTTTGAATTAGTAGTTGCCTGCGTCTTAGTCTGTTAGAAAAAATAATATTTTTTTTAAAGTTTTCATACAAAATTACATAAGTTAATTTTGTAATACAACCAAATAGTAATGTAGTGAATGTGAAAATGTGATGTACCAATCAAAATTGGTTCAGCCAAGAAGTTAAGTGAAAATGTAACAGAGAAACATTTATTTCCACATTTTCAATATATTATATAGTTACTCACTAATCAGCATTTAGGCTGAGTGGTTGGTTATGGTTATATCTATATACCTGGGGTCCTCTGATTGTTTGTAAAACTATGTACTAACCCCAAACAGTTTTCAAAACTAACAATGAGTGAATTAGTTTATTATAAAGTAAGGTTTCATACCTTATATCTGATGGTTTAGCAGCCTTCGCTGTGGCAATGTGTAAGTTATGCATCTGCAGCAGCTTCCTCTTCTTGAAGGTTTCCCGTTTAAGAGGGCGAACTCTCGCACAAGTCTCTGTTGCAGGATCATCAGGGACATCGGAACCAGGTAAACTGCCTTCATAGGCTACTGGCTCTCCTTCAAATTCTACAGGACCTTTCGCTTCACGGACCTAGGGATAATTTTTATTGGTAGGTAATTAAATGTGAATTTGAATTTTTTTCCTTAGGCCCCTGCCTGAAAAATTAAAATCAAATCTGTTCCTAATGGGATTCTGATGATACAAAATAGTAGATTTGATTTGATTCAACACGCTTCTCGTGGCATCAGATCGCATGATGTTCCAGACTGTTTCTTTCTTGAAGATATCATTCTTGTAGCATGAACATTTACTGCATCAGGTGGCTTTACAACTGGGGGTCTACTGTAGAACTAAATTGATTAGTGGGGCCACTCAATTGCTCTGCTTTGGATATAAAATGGCTTCATTTACTATAAATGAGCATTAGTAATGGTTTATATAGGTACATGAGTAAAATACTCAAATATTTACAAGATAATGTGTTACTCAATATCTATTATGACCTTGAAAATGTTAAGAGACTGTAAAAATGATGCAACAAGTCTGAACAAGTTGAAACCATATGTTCTACAAGTCTAAAGAAGATGAAATCAATCTTACATATTTAACTTTTTATTTGATCTGAGTATTTAACTAAAAATTTCTTCTTATTTTTATGGCTTTACATTTACTAAATTACAGTAGTTCTATCACCCATTCATATGTAGTAATTTTTGTATAACTTATCTAATTGAATTTTGTTAAATTGTACACACACCCATACAATCAATAAAATAATAATTTACCTGCTTATGCAAGTCACTGTGTTGGCGAATCTTGTACTCCAGCTCTTGTACCTGAGCTTGGAGCCAGCACCAACGAGAAGCAATTGAAGCACGATTCTTTTGCCATGACCATAATGCCCGTTTCTCTCTGTAAAAAATTACAATAGTAATTTACTAATTATATCATTCCCTTAATTCATAAAATTTGTTAGTGGAACAATATATCTTCTGCCTCATCAAGGTATATAACCCTAATTGAGAGTAAACTTGAAGCAAAATTAATGATTTTATCACAATAGTTTTGTTTGCCTATTAATGCGTTAGCAGAACACCAATGGTGTAATAAAATGAAACAGAAATATATACATTAATTTCAAATTTAAATATGGCTTAATCAACAACAACAAATCAAGTCTTATAATGTTAGTTGAATTAATTAATGAGGTAAGTCTTTCCTTAGAGTCACATTAATTTTTACTAAATTTACTGACTTTAATACACAAAGTAAATAAGAAGAAAGACTAAAATAAGTAACAGTGAACTTTTTGAGTAAAACCAGGTCAGAGGTAGGAGACTTTTTGGCATTAAAATTGCCAGGGTGTATACAAATATAAATGTGTAATCAAGCCTTGGACTTGTATGAATGATAAGGTGTATGGAGTATTTTGTCTTTGGATCATCAACAAATTATAATACTTAAAGATTTCTTGACTATTCTTCAAGGGATGTAATAATTCAGTATATGGAAGGTAAAGAGAAATATTATTGATACATATCAACAATTACTAGATACCTATAAAGAACTGGATGTCTGTCTATATCTTTTCCATATTTTGATGTTTTACATCAGTAATTATTTTAAATGAAAACAAACACAATTGACTCTTTATACACTTTGCTAGATACACCACTTTTATGTCAATATCTTTCAACTTAATGCTTTACTACACTAATGTCATGCGATAGCTTCATGAAGAAACTGACATTGCACTAAGAGTACCGATATAACAGTTCCTTTCTTAACCCTGACATTGGCAGAATCATTGTGCATAACGATGGAAACATAATATCCAAAGTTGAAGTGGATTTAAAAAAAACTAAGCATTCTATTCACAAATAAACTAATTTGCTAACCCAATTAGAATATGATGCAATAATGAGTAATACATTTCTGTCATTATAAATTATCACAACTAAGAACTTTCACTGTTATTTCAGAGTAATTAGTGAATAAATTTTAAAATTTGGTATGTTTACATTTGGATTGCCAGGGCAAAGACCTGTGATTAGATAAGGATTTGACATAGATTAAAATAACCTAACCAACTGTAAAAAGGTACTTACATTGGCATATGTTGTTGGTGTGCATTGTTGTATGTTACTGATTCATCATTACTTTCAGCTCCAGAAGAGGATGCTGTGGCATCCGAGTCCAACTCATGCTTCACTACAGATAAGTGAGATCTCAATGCACCAGCAGTATCCTCCAAGCCAGTAAGAGTTCCTGACGATATTCCAACTGCTGCAGACTTTGATGCATCAACATGTGAAGTGCTGGCATGGTAATATTTAGGTCCCACAACAGACCTGGAAGCAGCACTAGCTTGCAGCACTGCAGTTGTTTCTACCCGTTTCAAAAAAGCTTTAAGGCCAATAGGTCTACCTCCACCATCTTTACGTGCTCCTTTAATACACTTTTCAAAAGTCTGTGCAGCCTCTTCTGATATTCTTTTTCCAATACTCCTAGCTTGCAAAATTCTTAACCGCCTTTGTAAAAATGCACAACGACGTTCTAAACGTGCTTGTGACAATCTGATCTTATCATCAGCTGCATCACCCTCCGAATCTGCAGTTTCTGGCAAGTCAAATGCACTCAATGGAAAAATCCCGTCTGGGTCACCTGTAGACAGTCCATCTCCACTTTCAAAGGTTTTGATTGCTTGAAGTAAGTCAGCTTGAGCTAGATCACTGCTGCCCAAATCAACTAAAATCTGTTCCATTTCCTGAGAGTCCTTGGCAAGACTGGGTTGGTTTTGGAGTCCCATGTCGTCCTCCTCCATGTGTGTTGCGAAATTATCGACGGACGCAAGCGCCCGTCTTCTCAGCGGAATAAGTTTGTCAATATCCTCAGTAGCGTCATAAGAGTGGGACTCTCCAGGAGCAACAGAGAGCGCCGGAGCCATGACACGCGCGTAGCCCGCCTCGGACGCCGGCGCCCGACGCCTCAGGGCGGGCTCGCTAATAAGCACATCCCTTATGTAACACTTCCCGCCTCGAGTATTTTCACAACACTAACACAAGTTTGCACTGCACTGAATAATCCACGTTTGACATTTTCTGTTAATTTACTTCTCCACCGGCTCCATAATACGCAATCCAAAACTGACGGATCTATTGTAGAGCGGCTTGTTTCTGAAAAAGAACGTTTATATCATTTTACATAACGCTCTATAATAATTCACTATAAACAGTTTTGTTGCTTATCATTGCGTTATTTAGATCAATGTGAAATCATATTGTATCAGCACACAATTCGAAATTCGACCCACGTGATAACGAAAAGAGTACGCTAGCTAGCGATCGCAGTTGCTTGTTTCTGTATCGTGAAACAGGAAATGATACGGTTTGTAGGGAGACACACAAGTTGAACGCAATTAGCGTGAAGATACACTGACTTTATGTGAATAAGAAGCTAGTTGGAACACCACAGAAATCAAAAATTATAAAATACAAAGCGCTAATGGCGGAATAACTTCAATTATCACTAAATTCACTGAGAAGGGAGCAGCACTCGCATTCATCGACAAACACTGACGACGAAATGCATGCAGGCGAACAGTTCATCACTCTTTGTCTAATATCATAAATAGGAAAGAGATAGCACATTACGTCCTTGAACTAGGTACTTGCGCGGTAAAGTCAAAAGAGCGCTAAATATTAAACAAAGATTGTAATCTATGCTAACCCTTTATTAAGATTTTTGTAATTCAATTTAACATTTTTCTATGGCGATAAGAATACTAATTTTATCTCTAAGAAGTCTTAAAAAATTAAAAGTAATAAAAAACGATACTGTCAAGTAGCCGCGATAATGCGTCAAAGAAAAGTAAGTAGGTAAATAGTTAACTGCTTTTAAATTAAAATACTCATTAATATGTACAGAACAATAAACAATCCAATGCAAATAATATATTATATATTTCATTCATATCGCTTTAATTTACAAGTAAACCTATTTCTAAATTTGAAACAATTTGACTCGTGTATTCAGTCTACTTCCGGTTCTGTTTTTTTTAGGTTATCAAAATGGTATGTTTACAAAGACAGCTATAGATTTCATAGTGTTTTTAGATTTACAATCATACCATAATTAGGACCGTAGTCGTGCCGTTTTGGACACAATACGGTCTCTTATAGCATTTGATCCACAACCGTGCGGCAATTCCGCAATAAGGTTTTTATCGTAGTGCACGCACGTTCTTAAAATGGCAGGCGTCTATGGTACACGATTAAAAAAAAACGAATTTCCGAAATAAAGGAAACGAAATCCTTCCAAGTTTTTCCGGCATCCAGACGTGCCTAAACTTTGTCATAGATGAAAATCTGATAAAACACGTGCACAAAACAAAATTTTACAGAGTAGCTTGGGTTACCTGCTAAAAGTTTGCAAAATACTGATAATTATGTGGATACATTTAGGTATAAACAATTGCGTAAAAACATCATAGGGGAAAAATTAAAGATAAAAGGATCTCCGACGTCTCATGCTACCTACTGCTTTTCACGAATATAAAACTTGATTTCTTGCGGGCGTAGGTAGTACCTAGTCACGCACGCGGACACTCGCCAGTCTATAAAGAATGCTATGTTTCATGTTTTACACAATTAATTACTGTATTGTCATAATGTACCTAAATAGGCCTACCTATTTTAAATAATTATTACTTACAATGTTATGCAATTATGTATACAACAAGACATGAATGGTAGAGATTTTGGCAAAAACCTCACTTCAAAATAATATAACTATTACCTATTTTAGTTTTAGACCTTCAATTCAAATATATCATTGCCTACCGATTTACTTTTTTGCTATATAAATTATTATTGTATGTGTAATAAGAAGGTAATATTATAAGTTTCATTTGTATTCTGAATTCTTGTAGGTATACCTATTTAACTTCATCAATAGATGCTTACTCTACATTAAATTGATATATATTAAAGTGGATGTAAATAAATAATGATTGCAGTATGTAAAGGAATTGGGTTCCAAAATAATAAATAAGTACCTATTTAATAGACTACCTGGTCCTATTTTTTTTATTATGCTGATTCAATGTAATGAAAATAATTCATTTGATAATAAGATCTTAATTAAAACATATTTAGTATATTTTATTTTATAAATACCATTTTATGATTAAAATAAGTAATGATTTTCATTAACTTGCATACCTTTTCCAATACAAAATCTTGTTTCCATGGCACACATCAAATTCTTGACTACTTTGATTCTCCTCTTCCCTGGATCTTCTAAAAATAACGCCATTCTTAAATAGGAAAGGAATTAACCATATAAATATACAGTAAATTAGTAAAAACTTGTACTTTTGAGACTAGGTAGGTACATTTCCTTGCTGCAGATTTAAGTACTTCATTGAATTGACAGTTGCTTGTCACAAAAGTAAAAAAAATATGTCATTCACTGAATTGTCAGAAAGTAGAAAAATTAATTATTGAAAAAAAAAATCTGGATATTAAACAAATATTCTCATATTAGACTTGTAGCCATCTTGTAGCTTTTATTAATTTCAATAATGCTGAATGTCTCATTTAAAGTCCCTCAAAATATTAAAACAAATTAGTATTACCTAGTTGTATTGAATGTTGATAAAGTTATTTACCATTTAAATTATGAAGTTCCATATTTACATCTTTTTCTGTCTTGAGTAAGATAAGACAGAAAATAGCCTACTACTCAATTATATATTTTTGAAATATATGGAGCCGGTACATTTATTGCATTACTATAATTATAACGAAATAAACAATTTAAACATAAGAAAACAGGTCATTTTTGTTACTTTTATTCAAATTAAAAAGAATCTTAAATTCTATGTTATCAACTCACCCCATTGAAACACACAGAAACAAAAAAATTAAGTGAAGGCTTAAGTTACATCTGCACTTGGAAATGTGAATTAAATGTATTAAAGGCTACCTTTACTTTCTAAATATCTAATAAGATACTATGTGACTGACAAGACATTTAATGTAAGTACCTAACTAACATTTCTAAGTGTGGCCGTAAGTACATAAGTTTATGAAGGTGTTAAAAAAATGGTGATTGCAATTCCATTTTGTACTGTAAGGCCTCTGTATGATTTGTAATTAAACAAGATAATGGATAGAGATGTCTTAAATAACCTACATATTATGGTATCATGGCATTTTTTTCAAATTTACTTTTTACTTTAAAGCAATTCTGAATAGTTGTTTCGAATTTCACAATTTTTTTTTTAAATCTGTTATTATTAATATTGATGGAATGAGGTTACTAGTTATTTCATTAATAACAACTCCATTTATTACTAAAGCAATGTAGGCGATGCAATCTCGGACACCGGCATATATAAGAATAAGGTTGGAAGCTGTCCTTTTTTTAGCGTAAATCACTGCCATAGAAATATCAATGAAATAGATGCAAACTATTCATATAACTTTTTATTGTAGTATTAAACCATATTCTCAGATTAAAATTTAAAAAAATCAAAGCAGTAGTCAATAATGGGCATCTCTATGTATGTATTTATGGCATTTTCGCGATAATGTATGAACCAGAACTTAAGTATCTTTTGTTTATTAAAACAATTTGATTATAATTACGTACCACATACTTATTTTAAAATTAACTTTTATTAATTTTACAAACTAAAACTTTTATTTCATTAAACATTTTATTTAAGTTAAGTAACATAATTATTAAGTGCTATCATGTCGTTTTAAAGTTAGATTTTATTGTTTACTTGATTAAATGAAATTGATAATTCTTTACCTGAACTGTTTCAAATCGTCTCTATAATTATTAAATATTTTATAGATTTATTAGATGACCCACCATAATATTTTCTTATTACTAGAATAAGCCACAACTAAATCTCAAAATTCCTCTGAAACTTCTGACTAGTTTTTTCCTAAAATCATTTTATTGTCAATACGAGATAAAAAATAATTTTAGTGAATATTTAGGAGATTACTTTACCTACTTTTGCGAACGGAAACGAAGGAAGGAACAACTTGAGCAAGCAGTGGCGGCGGCAAATGTACAAGCAGCAAGAGCCATTATTAAAATAAAAAAAGGAAGTAGCTTTGAAAAGCAACGTTCCAAACGCTCTGAGCATAGACATAGTATCATAGGGACGGAGCTTTTGGAGTGTACTCAAAGACGGAGCCAGAAGTTCCACAGCCTGAATGACGAATGGAACTGTTTTCATGCATCTTTGTCTAACCTGTAGAGTGTACCTAAGAGTGAAAGAGCAGTTGACGTAAGTTTGACGATGCGTGTCGGTATAAATTATGTCCTACGAGTGTCCGAGTAATATGCTCACAATATTGCGGTGACGTGTGGTATTTTCATAAATTGAAAAGAATTTATAGTTTTAAGCATGAAAATTACATAAAAGTATATGATAATGCCGAGTTCAGCTGTGTTCTGTCCATCAAGAACGTAAAAGAAAGAATCAAATACTCGAAATTATCATTTCACATGTAGTCGTAGTCATGTCGCAGCAAACATTTGTGAACATATACTGGTATTTTTATATCAGAATAATACAATCAGTGGGTTCTTTAGACTTTACGCCACAATTTTTCACGGCCCAATTGTATTAAATTCATTAATATACCAATAAAATTGTATACAAAAATCGCATTGAAAAATAATAATTATATTTTAGAGTATCGGTAACAATATTACAACAGTAGTATTTTTATTTTAAGCATTTAACTGCTAGATGTTTAAATCTAAAGATGTTTTTATTTTATATGTATAAACAATTTGTGAAAAAAATGTATAAAAAATTTAGTTTCTCAAAATGCCGATATGAGATGCGAGCAGATCAAAGCTGTTAATTTGATATCTGAGGACTAAGAGCCTACGAAATATTCCCAACTTTTTTTCGTAATATTTTCAGACATTGATGTCGATTCTGGCGTGATTCTCTAAACTTAAAACTAAATTTAACATCAGTCTCTCCTTTTCATTCTGTATAGAGAATGACAAGGATATACTGTTGTCAAATTTAAGTTTAGGTTTAGAGAATCATGCTAGAATCGACACCATTATGTACCTATACTAATGAATCAAGCAAGACTCAAAAAGAATGCATTACCACAACCATTTTAAGGAATATCAATAACTTGTAATTGTTTTTATTAGTTTTATTTCATTGGTGTACCCTGTTTCTGACTTACACCAAAAGAAAAATATAAATATTTTATGAGTCAATTAGATTTTTAATTTTTGATACACTTAACTCTTAAGCCCGTATTACAGAATGATAACTAATAATAGGGGAGCCCAAGAGGGGATTTACTCGAGTGCGGCAGATTAATATATAGGAAGATACCTTATATCTAGTTGAGTACCTCTACCAAATCTGAGTTCTCCATGTAGTGCCGCGCGCGTAGGCCAGCCGATCAGAATAGTAAAAAAAAATCGATAGGCGGAAATACTCGAGCGCGTCAGATTAAGTTTCGGTGGTTTAATTACATGCTGAAAAGTGTGTATTTCAATAATCTGACGATTTGAGCGTGACGCAAGGGAGTGGGAGGGTTTCAAAAAGCTGTCACGAGCTTGCGTCACGTCCGAATCGTCAGACTTTTGGATCTGAGCTTCGTTTAGGCTCACTTAACATCCCCTCTGAATATCTGACGCGCTTGAGTAATTTTTTTCCCCCCATTTTCAATCCATCCGTACGGCTAGTCCCACCATGCAAACCGGCAGAAAACTGAAAACTGCCACTATGGCCACCCTGCTTTAACTACACTGTTTATTTCTCGCGCTTGTTTTCTTAGTCTGAATCTGAATCTGCGTGTTCTCTGGCCGTACCCTACGGCTTGAATGCAACTTTTTACCACGGACTACTTTAATCAAATTTAAACATCGTCGTCAAAGTAAAAAGTCGTAGTTTTTTACTCTGACGACGACTTTTTAAATTTTGAAATAAAATGTATAATGACACTCAAATAAGAATAGGAAAGCCAATGACCTCTATCTGTCAAATGTCGCCTGAAAAGTATGATTTGCAAAAAAATCTTGGAATCCTTTTCTGGCACTCTGCTAATTCAAGAATAAAAACCAAACATTTGTAAACAAACCATAACAAATATTGATAATTAATATCGGTTGATCTTTTTTTTCACTTATTCAGCTTTGGCCATGAATGGTTGATAACCTAAATCGTCAACCAAATGTCACTTTAAGTTGCGTTCAGAAACTCGATTTCAAACTTTCGTTTACATAAACGATGCACGTTCGAATGTGACCTAGTAATAGTGCATGATTATTCATAACTAGTTTGGCGATAATGTAGAGATGAGCGGAATGGAAGAGCTAGATTCTGATTAATGGTTTTTTTCACAGTTTTAATAAATAAATATTATTAATAATCGGTGTTTTTTTTCTCTTAATGTTTGTAAATAAATATTATTAAAAAATCTGATGCTTTTTCTCACTTAATCTTAGTAAATGAGTTTTATTAAATAAAACCTTTTTTTGCTCACTCTACCTATTTGGTTTGAATTGACAGCTATGACTTCACAATATGGCACCCAGTCGGTCTTATTCATAGTTGAATCGCATTATATGTAACTACTAGCTTTTGCCCGCGACTTCGTCTGCGTGTAATTCGAATAAAAGCAAGGTCTTTATGTATCAATAACTGGTGCCCGCGACTTCGTGTGCGCAGTATTAGTATTTCGAGTAGCTTATATTAGCGTGAAAAGAACTAACATTATGACATTAAAATTATAACATACATAATTTTTGGGTCGTATTTGAAAAATATAACAGTCTGACAATATTGAGATGTTACATTCGCACTGTAATAACGTAACAATATTGTCAACATAAGAAATACAGTAATTAAGCACTGCAAACCCCTAATCATAGGCCTATAGGTAGCTACTGCAGTATGCTTCTATAAACTATATTTAGCGATTTTTTTCCTTCAGCATAAACATGCAGATTTTTCGCTTTGGAAACACGTGAGCAAGCCACATAGAGCTGACCGTGAGAAAAACATGGCGTGCCCAAATGTATGCCTGCTACCTTTAAGGTTTGACCCTGCGATTTGTTGATCGTCATTGAAAATACGACTTTCAATGGGAACTGCAGGCGTTTAAAATTGAATGGCAAGTTGTTGGGTATGATTGGGATGCGCGGTATAAGAACATTGTCTCCCTTGGCTTCTCCAGTTAAAATTGTGGCCTTCACAATGTGCCTCCCTAGTTCGTTAACTTGCAACCGAGTGCCGTTGCATAATCTTGGCGCGTCCAGGTTACGCATTAACAAAACAGGTACACCTACCTTTAATTCCAACTTGTGTGATGGCACCCCGGACAACTCTAAAGAGTTTAGGAA